AGGCAGTGAGAGGGGCTCCAGTCCTGTGGTGTTCTATATTAGCTTGTTTTATTGTTATTTAGTCTCTTGGCTTCTTAATGACTGTTTTGAAATGTAAATGTTTAATGTGTTTCAGTCGCAGGATATCTTAATGCTTTTTATGTTTTTTCTTTAAAGCACTCTGATTTGCCTTGTGTTGAAGTGTGCTTGCCTTCCTTGAAACACTGGGTATGTTTTGATGCAAAACAAAGATGTGGAAAAACTCCAGACAACAACATGTTCCTGTCAACAGGTTGTGTATCACTGCCTTATGAGTCACTTCCTTGTTTGTCCTGCATGACTAATAGAAAGAAAGTGATTAACTATATAAAAACATCTGAGAGGCTGCCATTTAGGTGACAAACAGAAAACGGTTGCTGTTTGATTAAGGCCCCGCTCACACGGGACCGTTTGCGTTTATGCACAGTATGCGTATTCAAAAAAGTCTTCCGTTCACATGCATTCGTTTCATTTAACGTGTCTGTTCAAACGAGACCGCTGGAAACGCTGTAGTACACATGCCGGGACTGTAAGTGGCGCTGTAACTTCCGCCAAAATACACCAAAAGCAGCGAAGAAGAGCAGCCCCAGCAGCCCCGCCGCAATGTTGCCATGGCTACCCTTCTGTTTAAGCCCCGCGGTGTATTTAGCAACATGTAGTTCATGTAATTCTCCATGTCCACTTGTTGCTGATGGTTGTGGTAGAGGAGCTGTAGATTTTGCACTAATATCTGTAGCATGGTCAGTAGCAGTAGCACTAGCAGTAGCTACTGACAGGAGGAAGTGTGTGGCGATTGCTGGTATTCAGCGGGATATAGTCATTTCCTCAGCATATGGATAAATGCAACGGGGAAGTTAACTGAAAGAAACCGAATCTGTGGATATTGCATCGACCGACCAAGAAGCATGTCTCCGTGGAGAGGACCCGCTCAGAAAGAGAGATATTCTCTACAAACACCGGGTGAGATCCTCCTTTGTCAATATAATGGATCAATGCATGAAATCTGACACTGTTTATTTTGTTTAAGGAGTATATTGGGCGTTAACAATTCTGGTTTGCCTTTTATAATATTATTTCATTCAAGAACCCCTTGTGCGTTTAATTAACACAGCTATTTTTGATAGTTGCTACAGCAGAGAGCAGGAGAGGTGGGGAGAGGCGGGGCTATCACTATTTTTTCAGGAAATATTCGTATAGAGGTGATTACACGGACTCGGTTGACCCACCAGAGCGTTTCGTTTGCAAATCTATCCACCTTGGGACCCGTTATCGTTTGTGGGGTCAGTTTCTATCGGCCTCGTGTAAATAATAGGGCTATACGCACGCGAAACTATGCAGATACAAGCAGTTTTCTCCTCGTGTAAACGGCGCCTAAGCTAAGAACCAAATGTACTTTATGTTCGTGCACAAAAACTAGTTTGTAGGTTAAAGGGGCTCATTCTCAGGTTCATATTAGTATCTCTACTGGGACATGTCTCCATGCTTTAATGTTCAAAAAGCTCTTTACTTTTCTCATACTGCCTGTGCTGCAGCACCTCTTTTCACCCTCTGTCTGAAACCAGAGCCCAGTCTGTTGTGATTGATCAACCGCTTAGAGATGTCCCGCCCCTTAGCCTATCATGTACAATGTGTTGAAGCACTAGCCAATAGAAGCGCGAGTATTACATAGTGATGTGATTATGTTCCTTAAGTAATCAAAGGAGTCCAATGGAGGCGTTTCAGGCACCAAGCGCCTCGTTAAGGAAAACATCAGCTTTGGGTTAAATAAAGTTAAAACAGGAAATGTTCTCAGTTTCACTCTCTCGTGTGTGTGTGTTGTGTAGACTGAGAGACTGAGAATGAACAATGTCCCTGAGATACAGTACTGTATATCTTATTTCATTCTGATTTAATTTAATTAAGGCAAACAATGCATCTTTTTAAGTTCTTTAGCTCTGACAATGACCGCAGTGCATATTTATTACCCACTTAAGCTTTCAAATTCTCTGGAGAATAATGATGTCTATATACTGAGCACCATCAGTGTCTCCTGTGCCCTGTACTACGAAGCCAGTTCAACAGACCCTGGATATGTTTGAGTTACCCGGCTTAACTAACCCTAACAAACGACACCTCGCTAAGCTGTCCTACGACGCTGGTTATCAACTCGGTAAATCAACCCAGGGTTTCTCTTTCCGGCTGAGAGCGCGTTTACGTGAAAGGGGCGGGGTTATCAACATTTGACCAATCACAAACAGGGACAAGTGTACTGACAGCGCAGCGTCATACTTCCTGAATGAAAAGTAAACTATAATATTAGACAAATATGAAGAAGTTAAACTTTAAACATCTATGACTTAAACCAGGGATGGGCAAATGGTGGCCTGGGGGCCGCAGATTAATTTATAAACAACGTACTTATTAATTAAAAAATAAAATATATATATATTTCTTTTATTTTTGTACTTGTAGTACTGATACCGTCCACTAGACTCCTAGTTCAAGGTTCAAGGTTCTTTATTGTCAAACTAACATAGCTACAGAGTAATTATGTCATTGAAAATCTTAGATCACAGGCTTCTCCAACAATGCAACACTGAATTGAAGTGTTTGTTCGGCAGACAAATACCGCAAAATAATCTGTGACGCGTTTGTGTGTATTGTGTTTGTTGTAAAATGTCAATGAAGATGTCAGACTTAGTATATTTGTTAATAATTACATACAATACATGGAATTTGTGTGTGTGTGTGTGTTCCAAGTGAATCTGCGACCCCCTGGTGGCCAGTACATACATTATGTGGCCCCCACCACCATCCAAGTTGCCCATCCCTGACTTAAACAGATAAACCAGGATAAAAGCAACAGTTGCACCTGCAAGGTGAATACAGAACAGCTGGTAAAAAACTACCGAGTGTTTGAATGCGTACATTAACAGGTTTATGATATCACTGCCCCGTCTCCTAAAGACACTCGTGGATCTGACTTTAATTACATTTGACTCGAATGTTTCGTCAACTTAACGTGTTGCTTAAAATAATACTTCTGCATACAGTATGTGACACTGTGAGTGTTGCACGGCCAGATACGGCTCAAGAAGCTGACTGATAAGGAAATATATGATACATTATTATCTGATGTGATGTGATATGAACGATAATGGGACACATCGACGTCTGCACTCACAGTGCCGCGGACTGTACGTAATGTTACTTTGATCCGGTTGATTATGTTAACTTGTGGCAGATATTTAAGTAAGCTTTCTTAACGCTAATGTTATAATAGTCAGATTGCTCTGAAGATGGGAGGGGATATTCTATAAATTGTCATGTTCACACAGTCGGTGATTTTTGCCGGACCTCTTTCCTGCAACGGCAGTTTAAACTGTATTTCCAATATGAGTTGATAGCTTTAAACTCCGCACACTGAGCTCTGATTGGTCAGCAGGCGGTGCTTTCACTGAGTTGATCTTTTATCCGGAGCAGGTTTGGTGTTCAGCATAAGTTACCATGGAGATCTACCCCGGTAAGAAGAGAACCAGCGTCGTAGGACCGGAAACCCAGAGTTAACCCTGAAGTTACCTCGCTAAGCGAAAACCCTGCTTCGTAGTACAGGAGACGTGGTTTAGCATCAGTGTCTCCACCCTCCTGTTTATGTTTGCTAACCACTTCTGTCAGAAAGCTAAAGAGCTGCCCATCAGAAACCGTGTTGTCTCAGCTCTGAGCGCCAGACAGCTGGAGCTCAAACTGAGGCGGGGAGAAGCTCTTTGATTTTAAGGATGCTGTTGACAAAGAAGCCTTGAATTTTTTCATCAATTAATTTCTTTGTTAATTATGGATGACTAATCTGAATTCTAAGCCCCTTCTCACTTTCAAACTGGGCTTTTATTTAATTAGTAGACTATCAAAAATTGTCAGAAGTAACTAAATGTCATCCAATTACTGCTTTACTCACTTATTGGCCACTAATAGCTATGTTGTATAAATGTGTATCAACCTCACACACAGAGCAAGGAGTCAAATTATAATTTAAGAGTACATTATATTAGATTGAGATATATCATTTAGCAGTTTTTCTCAGTAGTTTCAATGTGCATTCAAAACCATAATGACACGTCTATTACAGGCTAGTTTTGCTCATTTAGACTGCACATATATTTTATCTCAGCATAAATGTTACAATTCATATGCTAGCGTATCGTTTCATTTTGAGGTGCAATAACAGCAGTAATAGATGTTACATCCTACACCATTGGTGTTGTAGCTAAAAGTATCTTGTTTCTTATTTAAATACAAATTATAATAACATTTGAATGGTGGGTGATCTTAGACCCATTTTGCTCCAATTTGATCTTGTATTTATTATTATTATTATTATAATATCTTTATTGAACAAGGACCATGCATACAAATACATAAATCTCGAAATGAGAAAAGAGGATGAATGCCAGATTGTAGGTGACAGCTAATCTATGTTATTCTAATTGTTGAACATGGTTTATGTTCAGCTGCTGGAGTGTGTTTTGTTTCACAGTTTGAGACACCATTGATGTGTCACTGTCTACCTAGAGGAAACCTGGAAAAGCCCTGATGATTTCCTCTGTAGATAATAGTTAAAGTGCATTTACTCTTATGTCTTAATGACTTCTTCTTCTTAGCTGCTTCATGAACTCTGCCCCTGAAGCTACAGGCCTTTCTTTATCAAAGTGGTGCAGTTAAAAAACGCCTGGTTGAAATCTGGCACGTGTTCAGCGGGTCACCGGGTTCATTCATCAGCAGTGTGAGTATCAGGCAGAGTGTTTAAAGTGCCAATGCTGCAGCAGAGCGGCACATGGCAACCGCCCAGCAAGCAGTGAAATCTAAACCCCTCCACCGGATTCAAGGGCGGCCAATATTTGCAGACAGAAGCACCATAATGTTTATTTGTAAAAAAACAAGCATGCAATTACGTTTGACAGGACACACACTGGGAAGTGATTAGAAGAAAAAAATACCTTTTTTAAAACTTTCATGGCAAATATTTTGCCCGATGCAGCTCCGACGACTTTTCGGACTTGAAAAACCTGCATAAAAGAGGGAGTGATGTTTAAAGCAATCATTAGAGGGGAAGAAGGCAACGTGTGGAACAGTAGAGGTGTGTGTGTTAAAGGTCCCATGTCATGCTTTTCTGGTTATTACCCGTCCCCTTGTGTGTTATGAAGCTTTTTATGCATGTAAACAGTCTGCAGAGTCACAAACCCTCAAAGTACACCCTGAGGCTCGCTGCTGCGATGAGCGGGACACTGTGAGCTGGCTCACTGGTGTGGGGTCGGCGAGACACCGCAGAACTCAGCCTGGGCACACACACAAACTCCCAGCCAGGCTGCGGGTGTGTGTGTGACCAGGCTGAGTTCCGCGGTGTCTCGCTGTCTCGCAGACGGCCAGGCTCACAGGGAGGGGGGGGGGGCAGGAGCTCCAACAAGCCGTTTAGGACAGAGAGTGAATACACATACTATACAGAGATGCTGTATGAGAAACCAATGTGAGTTTGAAAAGTTGCACAATATAAATGTATTTTAGTAGACCTCAACAATGGAATTATGATCAGTAGAAATGGCCATGACATGGGACCTTTAAGTGTAGTTTCTCATGTGCCATCTTAAGGCTTGCCCCTCTTGAGTAATGCATGTACCTTTCCATATCCGCCTTTCCCCAGGACCCTCAGCAGCTCGAAGCACTCCGGTCGGATGTTCTCCGTCCCCTGGTTCACGTTGTCCTCCGATATCTCGATCTTCTCACAGTCGTCCATGTTGCTGCACAGACACAGGATTTAATGCATTGTGCTCTTGTCAAAAAGAAAAATAATAATTATGTGTGAACACAAGCACAGAAGGCCAACTCGAGTACTCACAACTCAAATCCAGTGCACTGGTCCATGATATCACTGATTTCCACCTGGAAGAAAAAAGGAAACACATCATAAACACAAGTCATTAAGCTTTTATGTGTTATAATAATTCTCTGCTCCATAGTTTTTCTCTTCACTATATTCAGTCTAATATTTAATATTCCATCTGTCACCGACTTATGTTAATATGATACCTTGCTTTATATCTTATTAATTTGTAACTTCAACATGTATATTTTCTACTTTCTTGTCTTTTAATTGTTATTGTACAATGCCATGTCTTTTATGCAAACATTTTCTTATAAGTGCTAACTGCTGTAAAACATTTTGACCACTCTGTAGGAGCTTTTGACCTCAAGGACATTTTCCATTTCTTTCTTGCGTTTAAAGACATTGTGAGTTCAATACTATGATAATAAATAATTCATAATACATGTCATCCTTTACAAATCAATAGCTATAATGAGGATAATGACTCATCAAGCATATTTTAATGGTAATCTTCATCTTCCAGCTTCTCCAGTTCTAGGATTTGCTGGTTTTCCTAACACTGTACTCTTACTACAAAGGGAAAATGTTGGGGGTTTTGGTCAACCAACCAAGAGAAGACATGAGAAGGTGAAGGAGATACCGCTTTATAGGCCAGACCACTGATCGGTTATAAGAGGATATCATTTTCAGATTTAAGTTGCCTCCCAACTTGCATTATATTCTATGGCACAACATTCATATTGTCTGCCTGTTTACAAAGGTTTAATCTCAGACACTGATCTGACAAACAAGAGCTGCTCTGTTGTAATAGTTGCCCAATCAGTGCTGTATGTGTATTAGGTAAACGTTTTGTATCCTAAAGAATAAAGAAATGTACATGTGTATATATGCGTGTGCAGTTGAAACTGTTTTCTATTCAAAGTCTATAATCTATAACAGCCAGTGATGATGGGTTTGCTGTACTTGTATGATAATAGCATACAGCAGTATTTACACTATAATTCATAAATAGAATTTAGATCAATTGTTTTTGACTTATTTCCAGTTGAAAGCAGAGTCTTCAGTGCTGCTGTGTTGCAGCATTTCACACTGAATGTGAACAGAAACACAGCAGCTTTAAGTCCACACAGTCACAGTCACCACTCTGTTGCAGCCTTGCCAAAATAAACTGTTGCACACTGAGCCACATTTATCACTGCAGCCCCTTTGGCCAAGTAAGGCTCTGTTTGCACAACTCCAACATGACAGCGATGCTTTCTGACCCGGGACAGCCTGAACAATGCATGCATTTCACCACTAGCTGACCTTACATGTAATATAAAATCAGAAAAAAAGTGACAGCTCTGTCATGATCGCTGTCGGGTTGAAAAGGCCCGAGAGCCCCGGCTGCAGGAGCAGGCCTGCGGTGGCTGGCTGGCCGGCTAGCATGCTAACAGCTACATGCTAACAGCTACAGCTAGCTAGCTGTTCTGCGTGAAGAGTTTCTGTGTGACAAGTCCCCGCAGACACGCTCAACATCCCCCATTAAAGTACCTCCTCAACCTCATCGTCGGAGCCATTTTCCTCCGGCTGGTCCAGATCAATGTCAAACATTCCGGCCATGGCAGCGCTTCGCTCGGATCGCTCTGTGACAGAATTGCAGGCGTCCCCCACCTCATGGACAAACACACACCGCCGCCATAACCGGCTACTACACTGAGCATGCGCAGTGCGACACTCAAAGAGAGGGGCGGTGACCTGGGCTTTTATTTTGAAGGACTGGTGAACAGGTTTCTTATTTTATGTGGGAGTTATTTTTTTTAGTTATTGTTTAAATGGTGGTAACACGAACACACTGTTACAATATTGTGCACACACAACCAATTGTAGTGTGCAATAATCACTGTTATTTAAAAACATACATTTAAAGAAACACTCCAGAGAGTTTTTTTTATGAGGTCTCAATACTGTGTTATTTATGTCACTAACTTAGTTCTTCAAACTACTGCCAGTAGTGTACTTATTTGTCTTTTTATTACTAATGTCTGTGTGCTTTTCTTTGAATCATTGCTTGCCTTTAAGTGTCAAGATGTGCAATTTGGACATGGACTTTTAAAAGAAAATGTAAAAAAAAACATTGCTCCCACTTTGCAGCATTTCAATATTTATTTATTTCATTATTTATGTCAGCATTTATACATGTCTGTATCAAGCAATACATTTAGTTATTATTGTATTTGGGTTTGTATTTTTATTTCTTTGATGATTTCTTTTTTATGCATTTATTTCTATTGTAAATGTCATTTTTCATTTGTAGAAATACTATTATTATTCCGTGTTGAAATAGACACTTATTTGCAGTTATTTACTCATTTGACTCGCTTTCCCCCCCCCCCGTTTTGATACTCTGGTCAATCATACTAACTTTGCGTGTGAGGAAAAAATACTTTTGTCCAGTACGGGGATCGAACCCGCGACCTTGGCGTTATTAGCACCACGCTCTAACCAGCTGAGCTAACCGGACTTAAAAAGGGTCACAGACGTGACGTAAAACGATCAGACAATAAACGCCCCTAACCCTAACCCAGAATAGTAGGCGTCCCCCACCTCATCATGGATGTATAATAAGAACTGGATACAGCGTGGGAGGCGGGGCCTCGTTCATTCCTATGAGAGTTGCTCATTGGCGCATGAAGACAAAATGGCCCAACTTTTGAGAGAGCGAAACGTCACGAAAGTATTCATATAATCATATCATCCGTTCTTATTGTGCATCCATGGGTAAAGGTAAAACTCATGTAGTACTGAACACGTCACATGAACATGCCGGGCGGCGCGGTCCCGTGGGTTAGATCTGCGTTCATAATGCAGAGGAAAATAAATCTCAGAAAAACGTTATTAGCACATTTTACAACTTGAGGACCGAATGTTTTTAATAAGGGCTATACTGGTTCATACTGGGTAGTTTATTTAGTTAAAAAAAATTATCCAACGATTTACAGACGTCTCTTTCCCAATGTTAGTCTATAGAGAGGCGAAGTCCCACCCTTCTACTTCCGCCCCATGGGACCTTATTTCGGAAAAATTATGTATTGAAGTCAATGGGGAGAGAAAGATTATCTTTCGATCCCGTTTGAATTGTGCCACAAATTACACATATGATGTTTGTCAATCTTAAAAAATAATTTCCATGTCAAAAAAGTCACAGTTTGTCGTAAAACTGTTGAAATATAAGACTATGAAAAATACGCAACTAGAAAGACTACAAATCCCTGTAAGTGATGTCATTAACGTTACAGATTACACTCGTGTTACTCACCGAAACCTTGTAAAGCCGGTCCCGCATGCTGGCTCTTACGTAACCGACTAACTCCCCTTTTGTGTATGTACAGCTCTCAACATGCCCAGACTTGTAGTGATTTTCACCTCTTTTAATACTTTTCGCCTCATTCTGAAAGAAAGAGGTGAAATGTGCCAACGTGACGGCCATCTTGGTGACATGTGCGAGACCAGAGATGTAGTTCATTGAGCGTTTCACACAAAAAAATGTGTTACTTCACAGTTTTACGACACATTTTTATTTTTTTGACTTGCAAAATTATCTTTTAAATTGACAAACATCATATGTGTAATTCGTAGCACAATTCAAACGGGATCGAAATATAATCTTTCTCTTGCCATTGACTTCAATACATAATTCTTCCGAAATAAGGTCCCATGGAGGTCCACCGGAAGGGGAGGGACTTCGCCAAAAAGTCTTTCCCGGCCCAGCGACTGATACGGAAGTGTAGTACCGCCGTTTGGCCACAACGAATATTTTCCTCAGAGTGCGGCGCACTTCCTGGGGGCTTGGTTCGACCTCCACCATTGCTGCGGCTGCAGCTGGACCCTTCTCCCATAACCGGCTGTCACTACCCGATCCGCATCCCTACCCGATCTGCATTGCGCATGTGCGAGATGGTCCACCATATTTGACAACTACATACGGCAACTCAAATAGGACACTTGACACAGTGGCGATTCGGCAAAGCAGAAAAAGAAAACTCAAAAAACCCGACAATATTAATCTGAACGAGAGAGATGAGTTATTGTTATTACAACGTGACTTCACTATTATTTAACAACTCCTTTTATTGGGTCCTTTTATTGGGTTAAGTACATTGTCAGAATAAGTGAGAAATGGATTTAACTTCTGTTAGACAGCTATCATACATACTGAAGAAATATTGACTGTGAATGCAATATGTATGGCATTCATATTTTATATCTAATTACATTAACTGTGAATGTCCTTCATTTTATTTCAAATCAAATCAAATAACAAAAGATTTTTGTATAGATATTTGAGAGGTTTATGACTCGCACATGCACGATGCAAATCGGGCAGCCGTCTAGACGTCAAATGTCCTATTTGAGTTGCCGTATGGAGTTGTCCAATATGGCGGACCATCTCGCATGCGCAGTGCAGATCGGGTAGTGACACCGGCTACTACACTGAGCTTGCGCAATGCGACACTCAACGAAAGGGGCGGTAACCTGGGCTTTTATTTTGAAATAGAGTCAGATGAGGACTTTTCTCCTTTTCCATGGAACTGGTGAACAGGTTTCTTATTTTTTGTTTAAAAAAATGTGGTAACACGCACAAACTGTTACAATATTGTGCACACAACCAATTGTAGTGTGCAATAATCACTGTTTTTTAAAAACTTAGATTCAAAGAAACACTCCAAAGAGTTTTATGAGGTCTCAATACTTGAATGTGTTATTTATGTCACTTAGTTCTTTAAACTACTGCCAGTAGTGTACTTATTTGTCTTTTTATTACTAATGTGTGCTTTTCTTTGAATCATTGCTTGCTTTTAAGTGTCAAGATGTGCAATTTGGACATGGACTTTTAATAGAAAATGTAAAAAAAACATTGCTCCCACTTTGCAGCATTTCAATATTTATTTATTTCATTATTTATGTCAGCATTTATACATTTCTGTATCAAGCAATACATTTAGTTATTATTGTATTTGGGTTTGTATTTTCATTTATTTTATGATTTCTTTTTAATGCATTTATTTCTATTGTAAATGTCATTTTTCATTTGTAGAAATACTTGTTTAACCAGTAAAATTATTACGTATTGAAATAGAGACTTATTTGCAGTTATTTACTCATTTGATTCGCTTTTTCCCCCCCGTTTTGATACTCTGGTCAATTGTACTAAATTTGCGTTTGAGGAAAAAGTACTTTTGTCCAGTACGGGGATCGAACCCGCGACCTTGGCGTTATTAGCACCACGCTCTAACCAGCTGAGCTAACCGGACTTGAAACGAGTTGCAGACGTGACGTAACAAAATCAGACAATAAACGCCGCTAACCCTGACCCAGAATAGCAGGCGTCCCCCCACCCCATGGACAAGCACACACCGCCGCCATAACCGGCTACTACACTGAGCATGCGCAGTGCGACACTCAACGAAAGGGGCGGTGACCTGGGCTTTTATTTTGAAATAGAGTCAGATGAGGACTTTTCTCCTTTTCCATAGAACTGGTGAACAGGTTTCTTATTTTTTGTTTAGAAAAATGTGGTAACACGCACACACTGTTACAATATTGTGCACACACAACCAATTGTAGTGTGCAATAATCACTGTTATTTAAAAACTTGGATTTGAAGAAACACTCCAAAGAGGTTTTTTACGAGGTCTCAATACTTTAATGTGTTATTTATGTCACTTAATTCTTCAAACTACTGCCAGTAGTGTACTTATTTGTCTTTGTATTACTAATGTGTGCTTTTCTTTGAATCATTGCTTGCCTTTAAGTGTCAAGATGTGCAATTTGGACATGGACTTTTAATAGAAAATGTAAAAAACAACATTTCGATTTTATAATGGGTGTCTATGGGACGACTCTTCAAATCCTCTTTTACCTACACCTTACGACAAATGCTACTCCTTCCACATACTTTCAGCTAGAGACTTCATTCCAACTTTAAAATGATTACAAGACCTTCAGCTATTAAAATATTTTTGATATCTTTTACGTTTTTTGACTTATCAACGTTTAAGTTTTGGTACATTTTCAGGCTGTTTTAGATTTTATAATGGTTGTCTATGTAGGGAGGGACTCTTCAAGGCTAGAGTGCGTGACATCATCACTTAGAGTGTAGAGGGTCTTAAAATCTTCGGAAAAAATATTTTAAAACTGCTCTCAGAGCCAAAATATACACTCTATTCAAATAATTTCAAAAGATTTCAGGAGCATTATTAGTCTGGCCTGCTCAATTGCCTTCATCATATCAAACGGACCCACCATTCTGGCCCAATAGTGATCTGAGTGACAAAAGGTCCCCCTAGCTCCCAATAGACTCACATGTTAAATTTGTCCGGAACTTTCTTCAGAACAGAGAGAAGTACACTTTAGACAAACTGCTCCCATCTTCACATTTGACACACAAAACCCCCAACAAAAACATATATCAGTTCATTGAGGTTCCCTGATGCTCACTTTCTGGTCATTTTTTTATAGCCATAGTTTTTGAACAGGTAGCAAAATTGTCAGATATAATCCTCAATGCATTCTTAATGGGACTCAGTGCTGCAGTTGGTAACCATGGTGTTGCTGGGCAGATTGGGGCCACACACCTGAGTGACATCATCTAATCAGAGCAGACACGCCCACAGACAGACTGGAGGTTTGTATTATTATTTTTTCAACAAAAGTTAGAAATGCAAGAGGTTTATCTCTCATTCAGAACAATGGAAAGGCTCTCCTTTCACTGCACATCTCCATGGAAACCTTTGATCTCTGGGCTCACGTACACAGATGTTTAATAACGTCGTCACCATGGTAACCTTTGATCTCTGGGCTTACACACACAGGTGTTTGTAAACATTCATTCACTACTACTTACATTTAATATCTAACTCCTTCAGCCTACTTTCAGCTATAAACCATTCAACTATTAAATTATTCAGCTATTTCAGGACATTAGGCACGTTCACACCGGAGTACTTTTCCCCGTACTTTTCCCGTTTAGTTCCGTTAGTGCCTGGAATTTTGCGTTCTCACCAAAAAGAGTACTTAGTTCCGAGAACTTTTACCCCCATTTTTAGTGCCTGCTAGAGAGGTGGTACTATCCTGGGGAGAAAAAAGTACCAATTTCGATTGGCTGGGCGAATTGCAAACAACGCCCCGTAAAACTCTGAAAGTTTTGTGAAGCCGCCATTGTATTTGCTGGCATTAGCATTATTAGCATTAGCATTAGCCCCGCACACCAACGGAGAGAGAATAACTTATGGCAACACAAAAAAAAACATGGGAGCGGTGGAGTGATGAGGAGGTGTCGGCGTTCTGGCGATTTACCCGGAAGGCTTCAGTAGAAGCTGCTGGGAGTCCCAGCAGCTTCTACTGAAGCCAGACCCCAACTCCGGGGACTTCCGGCCGGGGACTTCGGGTGGCAATATACGCCGTGAAGTGGTTTGCGGCCTGCCAGTAAACCCAAAGCAGAAGAAGAAGAAGTGACGTCAGCGGCTTCATTTGCGTAATCTTCACTCAGGGAACTTATTCCGGTGTGAACGCGATCTGTACTTATAGTTCCGTGGGGGTACTAAGTGCTGGCACTAAATGCTGGGCACTAAGTACGGCAAAGTACTTGGTGTGAAAGCAGAGGCTATACATGTTGTTGTTTATACCTTTTTTAAACCTTTTCTTTTAAATATTAAGCTTCTTCACTATTTTTCCTACTCTTCCAGTTTAACATTTCACTTTCAAGTTTTCAACAAAGTCATTGCAATGCATTTGAGCTGTAAAAATGTTGATTCAAATCATTTCACTTTTCTGCATTTCTCCGCTAAGTTCAGCAACACACTTAGGCCTACTTGGTTTTTGTAGCTAAAAGCAGCTACAGAGACCATTCAACTAATAACATATTCAGCTAAATTCAGCCACAAATGTTCACAGTTTACAGCATTCGCACGCATTTTCTGCAGGAAATGCATTTTCTAGTTACTCATTTGATTCCCTTTTTTTCCACTGTTTAAATACTCTGGTAAGATTTTACTAACTTTGCGTGTAAGGAAAAAATACTTTTGTCCAGTACGGGGATCGAACCCGCGACCTTGGCGTTATTAGCACCACGCTCTAACCAGCTGAGCTAACCGGACTTACAGGAATTTCCCAGACGTGACATAAAGTAATAACACAATAAACTAAATCTACAGAACCGAAATGTAAATCTTCCTGGCTCGTCGTCACTCCTTACGGACGGTAAGTCATAGTTTAAACAGGATAATGATCATTCTATTATGTATGATATACTCCTCACCGAAGGGGGAGGGTCCACCGGTGGGTGTTTTGTTGTTGTTTTTGGAATTCTTATTCTTATTATTATGTTTTGAATTATTATGTTATTGTTTTCGTATGTATTGTTGTGGCTGCAGAAAACATCACTTTTAACAGCAATGTGTGTATGTATAAAAAAAGAAGGTGCAACAAAGACACATGATAATAATAATACAGTAAATTCTTGCTTTATTATTTATCAAAAATAATGCTAAAATAAATAGCGGATATGACTTTTATTTTTGAAACTTTTGACAGTTGGACCGGAAGTGCCATCTATCCTTGTTGTGGCGGCAGAAAACACATCACTTTAAAAGCACCTTGCTAACGGTTATGAAACCTCTCACTCACAGCATGAATTCTCCGGAGTATTTCAGACTCTATGTGCCCATACCTTAACCTGAAGACCCTCGGTGTTCCCGGAAAGCCTCTCACCCCCGGCTGAGAGATGTCCGTAGTGACGGTGCAGCTCGGGCAGTGCGGGAACCAGGTGGGTCAGCAGCTGCTCCACAGCCTCCTCTGCGACGCTCAGAACGGCCAGAGGAAGGAGCTCTGCACCGCCACCCGGGAGCGCTTCTTCCACCAGGACACACATGGAGGTAACGGGATTATATAACTATAACACTCTTGTTGTTAATAACCACCAACTATGTGCACTATAGCCTATGCCGTTAATAACTGTGCAAGAATATATACCTGGCTGCTAAATCCTCAGAACTGTTACAGGATGTGTAAACACAGAACAAGATAAATGTTCTTAGGTAACATTAAGCTGTCTTTGGCTCTTTTCTGCTGTAACAATGTAAATGCCCCCTCTGTGGGACTAATACAGGTATTCTGATTCTGATTCTGAAGCCTGCTGCTCAATAAAGAAGTCATCAAAATGATAAATAATGACATCTCAAAAGTTTAAACGGAAGAGAATTAGGTTCACATGTGAAAACACTTTTGAGATCTACAAAAAATGGAAAACAAAATGTCTAGTCCTGAGATTAAAGTCAGAATTCTGAGGAAAAGAAAAATCTAAATTCTGACCTTAATCTCAGAATTCAGAGATAGAAAGTTGAGATAATAAATCATCATCATAGGTTAGTCATCAATATATTGATGTAGTTTCTTATTATAATGAAAAACGATCCTTGTTATTATCAGATACCATGTTAAGATTTTGAAAAGCAAGTCATTATATCGATATTATATGATTCAAGATTCAAGGCATTTATTGTCATGTGTACATCGCTACAGTGTAGTTATGACAATGAAAATCTTAGGTCACAGGCTCCTCCAACAGAGCAACACAATAAAACAGATACAATAGTGCAAGTAAATACAAATAAAATAGAATATAATAGAAATAGTGCAAGAATAGTCTATATACAAGTAATTGGAATATGATATATAATATATGATATGAATGTTACGGATGTTCTTTAAAAAATGCAGGTGTTTAACAGTCTTATGGCCTGTGGGATAAAACTGATATGATCTTGAGTTTTATCAAGGTTTTTTTTTCCTTTACTGGTGGAAACAAGCTTCCATCGATAACACACCTTTAATGTTGCTTCCTAACTGTGAGGCTCACCTGCTGACCTGTCATGTCTCCCTGTGTTACTTTACAGAGCTTGTTGCCCGGGCGGTGCTGATCGACATGGAGCCCAAAGTGATCAACCAGAGCATCAGCAGGGCGGCGAGATCCGGCATGTGGCGGTACGGAGAGACGTCACACTTCAGCCAGAAGCAGGGCTCTGGGAACAACTGGGCCAATGGGTAAGGACAGTTCCCCCCAACTCTTTCTGTTAAAACATGTAATAACCAATCATCTGTGGCGAACGAGAAAACATGAATCCTATGTTTAGAGATTGTTAAAGCTGGTATTCAGGGTTGGGAGCCTTGCTTTCAAAACGTAATCTGTTACAATAACAGTGTAAAGACTTTCCTCTTTAGGACAGAGTACAGTTAGGACTTGTTTTAAACTCCCTCTTAAACATCCTCATGGACCCTTCATTTTATGGAATTGTAATTATTGTATTCTATTAGTGTCATTGTGTTTTGTACCCCTATTTTCACATGTATCTTGTCATTTGACTATATTCTCAGATATGTTTGTTGTTTTTACATTATCATTCATGTGCGTTGATTTGTGAAGCCCTCTGAGACAAATGTGTTTTGTGATATTGGGCTATATAAATACATTTGAATTGAATTGAATAACTAGTTACTTGTTAGTTGTATTGTCTCCTGATTACGTAATATCATAATAACGTAATTGTGTCACATGTAATCCATCTTCAGAATTGTTTGTAATGTGCTTCTTGACTCTCCTCAGGTTCTGTGTGCACGGGCCGGCTCACAGAGAGGTGGTGGAGGAGCTGGTGAGGCGAGAGGTGGAGCGCTGTGATAGGCTGTCTGGACTCCTGGCCATGATGAGTGTGGCGGGGGGGGACAGGGTCCGGAGTCGGTACCTATGTTACTCAGTGTCTCCGAGACGTCTACCCCAAGTCCTTCATCCTCAACCACCTCACCTGGCCGTACGGGACCGGAGAGGTGTGTGTGTTTACATTACGGAACATAGTGACATCACTACGGAACACTCACACTTCTATTGGCCAGCACTCCAACACATTGTATGTGATAGGCTAAGGGGCGGGACATCTCTAAGCAGTTAAACCAATCACAACAGAGCCGGCCAGCTAACCAATCAGAGCAGACTGGGCTCTGGTTTCAGACAGAGGGTGAAAAGAGGTGCTGCAGCACAGGCAGTATGAGAAAAATAAAGAGCTTTTTGAACATTAAAGCATGGAGACATGTCCCAGTAGAGACACTAATTACAAAATGAACCTGAGAATTAGCATAATAGAGCCCCTTTAAACCCCTCTTTCCTCTCCCCCTGTCCTTTCAGGTAATTGTCCAGAACTACAACTCTGTGCTGACGCTGGCTCATCTCTACCAGCTGTCGGACGCCATCCTGGTGCATGAGAACGACACGGTGCACCAGATCTGCAGTCAGCTGCTCAACATCAAACACATCTCCTTCGCTGATGTCAACTCAGTGATCGCTCACCAGCTGGGCAGCGTCCTGCAGCCCGCGCTCACCGCTGACTCCCAGGGAGCCTACAGCAGAAACCCTCTGGGTGAGAGAGGCCGAGACCCAGACCCAGACACACACACACACACACACACACACACACACACACACACACACACACACACACACACACACACACACACACACACACACACACACACACACCCTCTCACACACTCACGACAGGTTTCTCACAGTGCATGGATTTTCTGGATTTGGAAATCTTTGACTTCTATAAGAGTATTTTTTTACTGTAATAAGGGATCCAAGTACTTCCTCCACCTCTGACACCTTTCCTACTCGTCTCTCAGGGGAGTTGGTGAGCGCCCTCTGCTGCCACCCAGAGTTCAAGCTGCTCAGCATCTCCTCCATCCCTCAGGTGCCCCTCGCCTCCATGGCCTACAGCAGCTTCAGCTGGCCCAGCCTGCTCAAACACCTCCGCCAGATGCTCATCTCCAACACCAAGATGGAGGAAGGCGAGTCACTCTACATTATATGTTATTTATTATTTATTTAAGCCTCTTTGTATTGTATTGTATTTAGCTGATGTTTTGTCTAAAGCCAATTACAAGAAGTGCAAGGATGTAAATTCAGAACAGCAAAAATCCTGCAAGTACATTAATATCGTTAAATAATCAGAATACTTTATTTATCACGGGGCCAAATGTAGTTTTAATAGTCCTTTTAATATAATAAATACACATAATAATAATAATTTAAAGGTCACCTATCATGCTATTTTTAGGCAATAGCATAGGTCTCAGATATATACAAAAATATAAAAAACATGTCTATGAAGTGTTTTGCTCAAAATACCAAACAGATCACCCATTCTAGCCATGCCTCATATCCCTCCATTTCACTTCCTGTTTCAAAAGTGCTGATTTGGGGAATAAAGCCTTAATAAAAAAAAGAAATTGATAAAAAAGAAAAAAGGAGGGGGCTGAGCTCACGCGGGACCCGGCAGCTACTGTCTAAACTAAATACTGCGGTGATGAAACGCCATATCATGGATTATCAAGGATTATTTCTGAAACAGTATGGAGCTCAAAGGCTTTCTCTCTTGCCGGTTATACCACAAGGTGAGTTCCTTTTTATTTCCTGCTTCTTCACACACATGCTCTCCAGTACAGGTTAGCTCTGAGTGTTAGCGATGCTAATGTAAACACCGACCATATTACGTCCAAAACAGTCGGGCAACGTTTCTGATAGGGCCGTGGGTGTAAAGCCAGCCTACATTTCCGATATTACGTCATATCGGACGCAAATCTGGATCAGCTCCGTTGTAGCCCCGTTTTTAGAGATTTGGGTACGGAGGAAAAGAGAGAGGGTTTAATTTTCTGACGCTGCGTGAGTTCCCTGACACACCGGGGACACATATTTATGTATAAAAGACATCAAAAAGTGCATTTTGCATGATAGGTCCCCTTTAAAGTAAAAATGTGCTCATTGTATTTTAATATATAACAACATTAAATATGTAAAAATGTGTAAATCACAATATGTGCGGTGGTGGATATTAACGCTGAAAACCAGGCCACTGCTTCAAATGTACAGTGAAATACAATAATACTCCTCAAGGATATTGGCTTTTTTTAATCATTTCACAGATTATACAGTTCGCTCTAAATAAGCCAAACCTTTTAAAGTAATGCAACAACATTTATTTTTTTATTTTTTATTTTTTGGTGTGCTTGCTCTCAGGTATAGACTGGCAGGTGCGTCCTCCTGCAGCCGCTGAGCGCAGCAGGAGCCTCACAGCAGGGAGCTTCAACACGTCTCTGGCCAACGTGCTCATCCTGAGAGGGAAGGACGTGTACAGCGCAGAGACAGGTCAGAGAACTGGGGAAAAAGTGTGTTTATTAAAAAAGTGAATCCAGACTCTATGATGAATCCACAATTCATTCAAGGGATTGTGATATTTTGGTGCATGCATACTTAGATTACATTTTGTTTACAGGTATTTAGTAATTGTTGCTGTTTGTTCTGTCCCCAGGTGGTTTCGAGGACCCGGCCCTGTACTCCTCCTGGCTCTCACCACAGGAAGCCTTCAGTGTGTGGAAGTCCCCGGTGCCTTTTAATAAATATGAAAAAAGTGCCACGCTGGTCAGTAACAGCCAGGCTCTGCTCCGCCCCCTGGACAGCATGGTGGGCGGAGCCTGGAACATGTTCGCCTCCAGGTGAGTCACTCTGCGAAATGTTTAAATATCACTTTGAGGAAAAGCTGGGTCCAAACACAACCTACTTATGTTAAACCCTGAGGGGGATGAAGTCAAGTTTTCCTGGAAACTAATATGTTTTTGTCTTTTCAATCGCTAACAGAGCCTACATCCACCAGTACACTAAGTTTGGGATCTCAGAGGAGGACTTCCTGGACAGCTTCTCGTCTCTGGAGCAGGTCATCTCCAGCTACAAACAACTGCGCTAGAAATGGGAGAAACCAACAAGCACCCTCATGCCAAGGAATACCACTGTTTGGAATGATTTCTTATACCAACATGTAAATAAAATGTATTTTATTTAATTTGGAGTTACAGCCAATCCTTGACTTTCCCCATTTTTCTTTACATCAAAAGTATCATAGGGACACTCATTATGGACTGAATGAATCAACTTAGACGATAAGCCTTTCTAAGGCACTCGGAAGGCTAGGGTTAGTTTATTTATCTTGCACATTTCATACACAAAGTGAATTGAAAGTGCCCTACATAAGCATTTACACACCAACAGAAGTCAACATCGTAAACACAGTTGAGGCTGCAAGAGATGCTGAAGTGTAACAGTAAAAGATAGTTAAATCAGCTCTGGAAAAGCAGCGGTAAAAATAGATTTTTAGTCTAGATTTACAATAACTCAGGGTTGGTGCAGACTGAAGATGTTCAGGAAGTTTTTCCACATCCAAAAGCTGTTCCTGCATGTTTGGTTCTGACCCAGAGTACGATGAATAAACCCCGATGATCCGAGAGCTCTGGGTGGTTCCTAACAGAGCAGCATCCTCACCTTCTCCATCACCATCTGGTACGCCACATCCAAGGATAAGGGCAGGCTGCAGCGTGTCATCTGCTCTGCAGAGAAGGTGATCGGCTGCCATCCCTCCACGACCTGCACGCCTCCAGAACCCTGAGGCGGGCAGGGAAGATAGTGGCCGACCCCTCCCACCCTGGACACAAACTGTTCACCCCCCTCCACTCTGGCAGGAGGCTGCGCTCCATCAGGACCAAAACCTCTCGCCACCTGAACAGTTTCTTCCCCTCTGCTACCGGCCTCTTAAACAAGGCCCGGCCCCCCCACTGACACTTTACCTCAGCCACAACGTAGTCTCTATATGCATTACATTAAAGCACACAATGTTCATACTGCTTACTGCACATATTTCTTGTTTCATATTTTATATCCTATAATTCATTAATAGCATTCTATTTCCATGTAAATTACTGCTTTATTTTATTGCTATTTAACTATATTTTATTACGGTGTCCTTAAAGATTTTTTGTTTTATATTAGATTTCTTGTTTTATATTTTATGTATGCACCATGACATCAAGTCAAATTCCTCGTACGTGTGAACCTACCTGGCAATAAACCTGTTTCTGATTCTGATATTAGACAGGTATTCAGGTCCCAAACCATAGAGCGATTTGTAAATTAATGGAAACATTGTGTCATCGAGTGCCGCCGAAGTACTGTTCCAATCTCCAGTATACTTGGAAATCTACCGAGCCCGGCGTACTCCGTTTGGAGAAATATCGAGTGTGCACATGAGTAGACTTCGCGGCCTTAAAATCCCCACAATGCTTTGCGCACGGACCAATTTCCCCAAATCTGTGGCGGAAGATGTAAGGCGGGGCCTCTCCTATGACGCACACCTGCACACTTGCTAGCCTGTTCCACTCTTTGTTTTCCGAATGGCAGGAAGTATTCTTGACTCGCTTCTGAAGCAAGATGCTCGGCAGACATGTGCTACCAAGCAAGCGTACTCGCGATTGAGAAACACCCCCAGTCTCCCCATCTGCTGAGCAAAGATCACATGTTGATCCAAAATGGCTTCCAAACAGCCTTAACAAAAAAATTAACTTTAGAAATGTTTAGGAATAAAGAAACATGACAAGGGCATCATACTTTTCATCATTTTATTATGTATATATTTTCCACAATAGTATTTCCAGAAGTGGGATGATTGACATTGAGTCAGTTACTGAAAGCCGGTCGTTGAATCCACAAATAATCCATCTGAAGTGGCAAAAAAATAAGACGCTGAAGGTCCACAGACTTCAGCCAGCTTACAAACCAATGTTGCCTTTTCAATGTAACAGCCAACACCAGTCTGATAAGCTAGCTGACGCAGCGGGAGGTGATGAAGAGGAGTTCAGGATCTGAGAAAATGGATGAAGAGCATATCCAGAAGTCTTCCTCCTCAACATCAGGGGGTTGGGCTTCAGGAAGGTAAAAGTGTGAGTGAGTTAACTCAAACTGTCTTACTTACCTTGGAGATGAGGATTACTCCAACAAAAAAGAATCAGGTCATGAAGGTTTTGAAACAGTTTGCAAAGATCACAACATTTAAAAAGCCTCACCCTATAAGCAGGGGCGGACTGGGACTAAAAATCAGCCCGAGACTCTCGACCGTCCCACTTCGGTACCGCTAGTAAATTGCAAACGGGGGGTGCTAGTGACTTATCCGACCGGCCCACCACGGTACCGCTAGTAACTTGCTAATGGGGGGGTGCTAGTGACTTATCCGACCGGCTCACCACGGTACCGCTAGTAACTTGCAAATGGGGGGGTGCTAGTGACTTATCCGACCGGCCCACTTCAGTATCGGGACGTTCAGTCCGCCACTGCCTATAGGGGGATAAATAATAAACAGACAGACTTGGAAGCGGGTGCAATGATTTACACGTTTTATATATGATCTGAATCAACCTAAATGTACAGAATAGAAATGGGACTAGTTAGCTCAGAGTACAATGTCACTTTTACAAATGATATCACTTCTTTTTTGTTTTCCACACAGACCATCAGAATAGAAATACATCTGCGCATACCGTCAAAAAAAGATATTAAGATATTTACACAATGTGCAAACCATCAATACCACACTGCTTTAAGTTGATATTGCTATTTTTTCCCTCCAACATTTTAAAAGACAAATTGGTCTCACTTTTTTTTTTTTTTTTCTTTTAAACCGGACAGAAACATGAGGATAATTTAACGCTGAAAAAAGTAAATGTTACAAAAATTAAATAAAAATCAAGTTAATGAGTAAAGAACTATATTCAAAGGGAAGTCAGGCGCTCCCGTCTTGCATAAGGCATCTGATGGGCGCTGCACACACACAGCCCCCACCCAACCGCTGCTGCTGCTTTACTGCTGAGGTCAACAAAGGGTTAATTCAAAGTAACACCAGACCAATCGCCTACAAGAAAAACCTAGAGTGAGATGAGAGGAAGAACTACAAAACCTGAAGAGGGACATCCTCAAAAGCGCACACCGACACACACACACATACACACTCACACAAACCGACACAAAGTGCTTGTTTTTCAGTGGTCAGCCTCTGAGAATGGATGGGGGAGGGGGAGGGGGGGGTGAGGTTTGTTGTTAAGTTGTGAGTGGCTGTGGCCGAGGGGAGGCAGCAGCAGAAACAAACACAGTCACTTGGATGTTTGCAGCGCTCCTTCTGTTGTTGTTGTTGTTGTTGTTGTTGTTGACTCGTCATCACTTGGTCTTCTCCTCTGAGTGCCTCTGCTGCTGCAGCCGCTTGGCATAGCTCTGAGCCGTGGAGTTAATGATGGAGGAGACGAAGTAGCAGACCATGACGAGCACCACCTTCTCAAACACCCACGACAGCCAGTTCTCATCCTGGGAACACAAACATTGGGAGAGCATAAGCTGTTATTTACCAATGGTGGAAAGTAACTTAGTACATTTACTCAAGTACTTAAAGAGGCCATATTCGGCTTTTTGGGGTGTTACTACAAGACCTGGTTGACTATAAAACTATTCAAATGATGTTCAAAGCCGCAAATCAACAATTACCTCATAATATCCAGGGACTTTTCACACGGAGAGAAAACATACACATGTTGAGAGGAAACTGCATTTTCAAAAAACCACCCGTACGAACAAATGCCAAACTATTGCATCACATCAAAAGGTGTTAGCTGTAATGATGCACTGAAATATTGTACAAGTCTATCTAAACTGAAAGTATTATTTAGGAGCCAAATCACGAATGGTTATGAGCAGGACCTGTAAAATCCCATTTGTTATTTCTTGTAATTGTAAAAGTAATTTATTTCTGACAACAAATTAACAAGACAAACATGTCGCTGGTGACGATGACCTAATATTTTATTTATAAGGAAAATGTATGCTAGAGGGGGTAGGACCAGAAAAGTAAAAAAAAAAAAAAGTTGAAGCTTCTTCTTGCCCCTGTTGAACATGACAGAGACTATTTGAGAATTTATTTTTTGAGAAAAAAAAAAAAATAATATATATATATATATATATATATTATTATTATTGTTGTTGTATGTTTTGTTTCTGACATGTTCAATACATTTACTAAAATATATATATATATATATATAGGTTTCTGTGCATGTAAATAGTCTGCAAAGGCTACACTCCCTGTGTTCCCTCCATAAGGAGTTTGTGTCCCACACCCATATGTTGTTATGTTGCCAATAAGTAAGTCATTCCAGTACATTACGTTTTTTTAATTGAATAAAGAAATTGATCCGTTTTGTTGTTACATACTTTGTCCACTAGAGGGCACATTACGTATCATTTCAACATATATTGTATTCCCTTCTTCTAAAAAGCATTGTGCATTTATCTAAAACAAAGAAAAGGTAAATGTGTCGCTATCTGACTTTCCAAACTTTAAATTATATTTTAAAATGAAGTATCGTTGGGCTACGCTAAAACAAGCTCCCAGCTCAGAGTGAGACAAAAGACGTGCATTTATATTGATAATATTAACAAATGAATAGATTTATAGAGCTCACATTTTGTTGATTAAAAACCAGAAGTGGAATAACTTCTAATAAGTTAAGGTAGCAGAACTAAGCAGTAAAAACACTGTAAAGTCCTGCATTCAAAATCCTATTGAAGTAAAAGTACTGGCATCAAAATGAACTTTGGTACATAAAGTTAAAATAATTGTTAAGCTTCATTGCCTATGTCGGAAAGATATTTATTGATAATGTCTGGATTATTCATCACAGCTGGTAAATGTGGAGCTAACTGTTATTACTTTTCTTAAACTGCTGCTGGATATCTTATCCTTAAAATAATGTCAATGTTTATGTATTGATATTAGCTACAAGTCTGAATCTATAAAAGCTGTCGTGGAGTAAAAAGTACAATACTGTCTTAGAAGATGAAGCATACATTGAAGATCTTCAGTATCCCGGTTAAAAACAAGGGTTTCTCTTGATCAAACAAAGAGTTGTTCTCACCGCTGGTGCGCTCCCTCCGGCGTGGTGCAGCTTGTTCCTCTGGGCCTCCAGGTACTGACTGAAGGGCTTCTGCAGCGAGGGCCCCACTCTGGGCACAGCCCTGCAGGAGGAACACAAACTCACCATGTTAGCACCTTACCTTCGTCAGGGAGCCCAACAGTGAATCTTGAACATCTTATTCCCTGTCTTCTGTTTCCCTGAACACTACCAAAGCTCCTCACTGAGCCCCCTGTGAGACCTACTGAGGGGCCCCTGCTGAAGGGCCCCTCCTGGTGCCTCCACCTCCTTCACTCAGCAGAGAGGAGTGAGGAGTGAAGCAGGAAGCCTTCAGCCCTCCTCTTATACTCCTCAGCTCTCTATAGTGTCAGCCTTTCAACCAGGAAGTGAGTCGACATGATGTCATCACCTTTTACCACCATAGCTGCCTTCTGGTGGAAAGATATCTAATCAGGGTGTGCTCGTGCCCTTATATGGAAGTAAGGGTGAGCTCACCAGGGGGCCAATCAGACAAGGTTTCTGCAGGTTTTAACTTAACTCACTTAAGGATCACAAAGAATAACATGTCGTACACATTTCCTCACATGGTCGTCATTTTAGCAGAACTAAGGAGGACAATATGGAGCCTATGACAATATGTAAGTCCCACAATTACTTCAATTGCACAAGACATGTTTATAGTGATATACAACACAAATCTTATTGTTAATCTATAGATTTATAGATATATAGATAACAGTGGTTCAATGTTATCCCAAGCAAAAACTTGATTAATTCTTAGGACCCTATTACAACTTATAGAAGAGCATTCATTTTAAAACCTATAAAATGACATTTAGGACCATTTGAGACCTTTTAAAACCTAAATGTAAGAACATTTAATTTGTAATGTCTTAACAAACCACAGATTTACTATTGATTTTAAAGAAGGCCCTGTTGTAAAATGTTACAACTCCAAAAAACAAGTTATAACATTATTTGAATAAAGACTTAAAAACAATTAAATAAGGAGAAATGTAATGTAATTTAAAATAAAATACAATTCAGCGCTGTTAAAACATGTTGTGACCAAACGAAAAATAGAGAAATTAAATGTAGACAAACACCTTCTGTGGCGAATTAAGGATTACAAAAAGATTCCCGTAAAAAAAGGATACAAAAAAGGGAGCATTTGTTCAGCAGGGGTAAAGTTAACATGAGTCTTACATGATGACAAAACTTCACTTATTGTTCTACTCCAGGCTGAAGAAACTCCCACTGCATGATTTCAATTCTGTCTAAGGTTAGACTAACACGTTGACTTTGACTAAGCAAAAGACACTGGCAGACAATTGACTAAACAAACAGCTAAAAGGAAGTGCTGATTCCAAAGAAGCCCAACTAGTTCTGACTGTGTCTTGTTATCTATTCCCCCCCCCCAAAAAACAAACATCCTGTATCATCACTAGCGCACTCATCGCGAGTCACTGCGAGACTTCATGGGAAAGAACCTGGGACTTTAGTTCCTAATAACAAAAAGAAAACATTTCCTCTGGACATATTAGTCCATCATCTTGCCTGAGGACAAACAACGACTGGACCTACTATCTTATAGCTTTCTCCTTTAATACTTGAATCACTGGAAAGCTTTGGGATCAAGTTAAGGTTACGGAATTACTTCATAAAACTTAAACGTGTAAAAAAAACGACCAATTATTGTGTTTTATAAATTATTATATGTTTTGAGTAACAACTTGTTTTAATAGCCAGAAAAAGTGTTTTTTGAATTTATGTATTACATTTTCTTTATTTTCTTCTTTGTTTTTTCTTCTTTATTTAGAGTCACACCATGTTTAATCAGCTAGAGAAAGTTATTGTTATATTTTGAATTAAATACATTTATTATTATTATTATTATTATTATTTGGAGTCACAACCTGTTATAAAAGTCAAAGATTTTTTTTTAATTTATTTAGAGTCACACCATCTAGAGAAAGTTCTTATTTTTTTAAAAAACATATTATTTGGAGTCAAAACATGTTATAACAGCCACATCATTGTTAGACTACAATTATTTTCCATGTCTCTTTAGTTTTTCTCTAAGTAAATGATTGCGTGTTCGTCCATCTCTCAGTCAGAGCTGAACTCGGTGAGTCAGACCAACAACACGTTTCAGATGGGACCTCACATGCCTGACCACCAATGCTGCAGAGATGAATTGCATGTGGGGAGGGGGGGGGGGGAAGAGAAAAACCTTTGTCTAGAAAAATGTAAAAAGCATGCTCGTACACCCCCCCCAGTGAAAGTGTTTATTCGTACAGGATCTACAATCAGTGGTCGAAATACATCTGAAAATGTTTACGAATGCATCGCTACCCACAAAACCAGGGGAAAGACAATGACTGCACAAAGTACCGATTAATGCCACACACACACACACACACACACACACACACACACACACACACACACACACACACACACACACACACACACACACACACACACACACACACACACACACACACACACACACACACACACACACACACACACACACACACACACACACACACACACACACACACACACACACACACACACACACACACACACACACACACACACACACACACACTTACCCAATGAGTGACACCATCTGCTCCACTATGTGCCTGCTGAAGGTAATGATAACAAAAAGTTTCTGTAGGACAAAAGGAAGAAATAATTCAAACCCATTACTTGTTGATCATATAGAGGTATATATACAACACACATATTATACATTTGAAATGAATGCACAAGCACTAACAAGGGATGTCTCATTTAAAGTGTATATATCTGCATTCTTCCTGGTTTCCAGTTGTATCTTTATGGTTTATTGCACTTATTGTAAGTCACTTTGGCTAGATGTAATGTAATGCAACATATAATTATACATTTCCTTATATACCAGGTTACAGACATCAGAAGAACAGTTTAGGAACAAATAAAGAATTAAAGAACACACCAATTGTCTCTAAGAAGTATATATTGATAGATAGAAATATTGTATATTAGGATATTTAACTGTAGCGGCACAGCTGTGGTCAATTGAGGCCACATCTGCCACTGTCCGCAGACATACTAATTACTCATTTAAACCGGGCACTAAGCAACATTTTGGGCTGCTAGGGGCTTTGTATGGTTTGTGTTTGGGGGGCAAAACCGCAATATTTCCCTGAAACTGATCAGCTTCAAACAGCATGACACACGGCCCCCCCGGACAAAATCAGACAGGATGTGACACGTGATGCCTGAGAGATTTGAAAAGGTACAAACACAAAGAGTCCCCCCCCCCTCAGCGATTTACAGTCTGCTTCATTTCCTTCATGTCTAGCTTCTCATGTCCACTATACTTCCTCCTCAAAGTGAGATCACCAGCTGGTACCATGACATGAATAGACCCTCAGCGACTCACTTTTGATAAACACATCCAATTTTAATATAAGCTTATACAGTGGTGGAAAGTCCATTGAATCCAGTACTACACTTAAGGAACATTTTGAGGTACTTTACTTGAGTTTTTCCATTTTATTCTACTACTTACTTTGACTCCACTACATTTAATTGACAGGATTAGTTACTTTTCCCGTTCATATCATTAACAAAATGAGAACAAGAGACGGAAAGAGGTTAAAAGACAGAGAGCTCGACCTCAGAGAAATCAGTAGAAGAAGACAGACAGGAAGTAACGACTAAAGGGAACAGCAGAAGAAGACAGACAGGAAGTAACGACTAAAGGGAACAGCAGAAGAAGACAGACGGGAAGTAACGACTAAAGGGAACAGCAGAAGAAGACAGACGGGAAGTAACGACTAAAGGGAACAGCAGAAGAAGACAGACAGGAAGTAACGACTAAAGGGAACAGCAGAAGAAGACAGACGGGAAGTAACGACTAAAGGGAACAGCAGAAGAAGACAGACAGTGGCCGTTTCTCAATGTCGAGTAAACCTGCTGCAGAGCCACTATTTCAAGTATACTACGTCATCGAGTGGCACCGAATGCTGGGCATTTAACATGCATTTAAACAGTCCTTCGGCGCCACTCGATGACGTAGTATACTTGAAATAGTGGCTCTGCAGCAGGTATACTCGACATTGAGAAACGGCCAGGAAGGAAACACTAAAGGGAACAGCAGAAGAAGACAGACAGACAGGAAGGAAACACTAAAGGGAACAGCAGAAGAAGACAGACAGACAGGAAGGAAACACTAAAGGGAACAGCAGAAGAAGACAGACAGACAGGAAGTAAACACTAAAGGGAACAGCAGAAGAAGACAGACAGACAGGAAGGAAACACTAAAGGGAACAGCAGAAGAAGACAGACAGACAGGAAGGAAACACTAAAGGGAACAGCAGAAGAAGACAGACAGGAAGGAAACACTAAAGGGAACAGCAGAAGAAGACAGACAGACAGGAAGGAAACACTAAAGGGAACAGCAGAAGAAGACAGACAGACAGGAAGTAAACACTAAAGGGAACAGCAGAAGAAGACAGACAGACAGGAAGGAAACACTAAAGGGAACAGCAGAAGAAGACAGACAGACAGGAAGTAAACACTAAAGGGAACAGCAGAAGAAGACAGACAGACAGGAAGGAAACACTAAAGGGAACAGCAGAAGAAGACAGACAGGAAGGAAACACTAAAGGGAACAGCAGAGGAAGACAGACAGACAGGAAGTAAACACTAAAGGGAACAGCAGAAGAAGACAGACAGACAGGAAGGAAACACTAAAGGGAACAGCAGAAGAAGACAGACAGACAGGAAGTAAACACTAAAGGGAACAGCAGAAGAAGACAGACAGACAGGAAGGAAACACTAAAGGGAACAGCAGAAGAAGACAGACAGGAAGGAAACACTAAAGGGAACAGCAGAGGAAGACAGACACCTGACTGCCTTGCTGTGCATTATCCCTTACATTTAAAACAACATTTAACATACAATTACAATCATTGAAGACAGTATGTTCTAGACCTTTTAACGTACATTTGACCTGGGATTTAACTCTGCATTTCATTTGAGGATTGATTGGTTCCGAGTACTTCTTCCACCTCTGAGCTTATATTAGTCACTGGTGTGGCAGACTCAACAATGCGCTCGGTAATTGCCGATTTTTCAAAGTCTTGTTAAAGCCTCTTAAAAGCTTCCCTCTTTTCATCTGTGTATATGGTCTGGAAGCATCCCAAAGCTAAAACCAGAGTGAGGAATCCCCAGAGGAGCAGAGTCACAAAGAGTAAACCAGAAGTATCAATCAGGAGTTTCTCACAGACGGACCCATGATCTCAGCTCGAGGTCTGATCTTTGTTCTCCCACACGTTTTGAGATGGTGAATCACTCAGCAGTGCACACCCTTTGCTTTCTTACCAGTGGAGGTTTTGTTCGAGCATTATTACAATGTGGGCTGTGATGACATGAAACAAAACATATCTGAAGCCAAGATGCTGTTTGCCTCTATGTTTTATGTTAAAATAGAAATCTTGGTTTTATTTTAGGTGAGCTGGTGCTCTCGCAAACTCTTCTGTTGAGATACTGACCTGTATATGCATCTTGATGACGGCTTTCCCAATCAGAGTGGCTCCAAAGAAGGTCCAGAAGGGAACCATGAAATGACCGCAAGTAATTCCAGCAAGGTCAAACAGAGGATTGGGGATCTGAAACACACACATTGGATAGTATTACTGAGCAACAGTCTTATACATGACCCTTATAGAGTGGTGCAGTAATGATGTATTTGTGTAGGCTGGTCCGGACGCGAGCAACAAAAGGGCTCCACAAAAAGCAATGGGATTTCTCCATGTGATTTTGGATTACTGCTGAAAATAAGATCTGTGGCAAACAAACGATCATGACACTTACAAGCTTTGTTCAGCAGAATCATCTCAGACACTGAAAGATGTTTGAAGAAAACAGCTAACCTTAGGCTATAAAGGAACTACAGCACCGTAACATGACTTCATGTCACAATCGCTAAGCTAACAGTGGCTAATGTTGGGCGTGATGACGTTTAGTCGTTTGAATGAGAGACTTGTTAGCAACCGCCGTTTTTAAATTCAACAGTGGGATATTTACTGATGTATTTTATGTTATCGAACAGAATGTTAAAATCTCTTCAGCTTGTGTTAACCACAGACCTTATTTAAGGCTAACAACCAAAAACACATAACAAAAAACTGTTGATTTCCAGACAAGGGAACCGGAGTTGTCAAAATGCTAACTCATTTCCCGGTTTATGGACTCATTTCTGCACCACTCGATCATACATGCCAACCTTTCTAAATCCAAAAGAGGTAGGTTTGCGCGCGGCAAATGTGCACGCCCAAATTAGGTAATCAGAAGAAATGCAACCCCAGTAATTACATGTATAAACCATGTATTTAACATATATTGCATCATTTTATGCATTTTTCAGAAAAAGTGGTAGTTTGGTAAACAGTGACATCAACGACATGTTTGGTCTGTAAAATGCCCGAAAAGTAAAAGAATGGGAGATAAATATCCCAAAGTCTCCACATTTTATTATATTTTTAGTGTGTGTCCTCTTTAAGTTGAGACAGTGGATGAAGGATGTGTCAGAATGTATTACTCTTGTGTGAACATTGGATAAAGCCAGGTTCATATTCTTGTTTCATGTTGTTGACATATTAGAGTCAAAGGTTTGCACAGAGCAAAATATCTTTGTGTTGCACCACAAATCAGAAAATACTGCATTAAAAAAAGTCATTTTGTGCCTTTTTCTACTGATAAAGTGTGATATAAATAATGTACAAGCTTTCAGATTGCTGTAGTTCACTAAACAGAGACATTAACGACATGTTTGGTGTTGAAAATGTCAGAAAAAGTGAAAGAATGGGAGATAAATATCCCAAAATTGTATTATATTTTTTGTGTGTTTGTGGTCCTCTTTCAGTTGAGACACTGTAGGTGAAGGATGCTTCAGGAAAAGACCAAACACTGGATGTCTTTCAGTCGCCAACATGTGTTTTCGAGACACTGATATTAACGGGGAAACCCTGCAGGACTCAAATGCCTAGTCTCTCTGTTCCCCCAAGTCATTTGGGAGTGATTACCCATCAGCCCCAGGGGTAACGCTGCCCTTCCTCTGCATGTTGTTTCTCTTTCAGAAACACAGAGGACTGTTAGTATAATGGGATCACAGACACGCTGCAAACGGTGTCCGTCAAAAGTCGAGTCGAGTGTCTATGTAGTGTCATTTTTATTTGTTATAGTTTGGGAAGATTGAAATTCGGTAGGGAAAGCCAGCTAAGTCGGTAGGCGGTAGAAACATGTCAAAAGCGGTAGACTACCGTCCAAATCGGTAGGGTTGGCAGGTATGCTCTATTACAGGCAATTCATTCCTTTTTGCATCAACAGCAACACATGTTTGTCATTTGTGAAATGATGATGCATGTAGTAGAAATTGCAGGGACATTATATTACTAATGAAAATGTCACTTACAGAGGCACAAGCCAAGATCCCGAAAAATCCAACTTTCTGCACCATATGCTGAACTCCCAGTTTTGCTCTTGTGACCAAACCCTGCAAAGAAATGTAACAAAAGAAAAACATTTTAAAATCACATTACATTGTAAACATATATTTGTATTCTTTTAACCGGCTATTTTTTAGCACTTTGAGATTTATTTATTTGGGTTTGGTGAGTTTGGTGGGGATCTTTTGATGCTATCTCCCTCCCTTGGGGGGGGATGTCTGTGGTTACACGGTGGAGATCAGAGCCGATGCAGGAGGGAGATTAAGAGGCAGTTTCAAAATCTGGCATCCCATCAACGGACATTTTTGGAAGCAATACATTTCAGTTTAGTCTCCACAATTACATGCTTAATTGTTTAAATCTTCAAAGCAGTCTTATTTCTTTAAGTCATGCCAATTTCACAGCATTGGACACAGCATTCAAGTTTACAAGTGATACGTTTAGTGTATGTCTTTCTTACAATGGTTTTGATTATTTTCACAGTTTCTTAGTTTTTAATTCTCAAAATGTCATGTTGTTTCTCAAAGCAAGTTTTTCTTTCTTTGTTATTTTCTTTTGTTTTTATTCCCTGATTTATATTTATAGAGAGGCGAAGTCCCTCCCTTTCCGGGGACCTCCATGGGACCTTATTTCAGAAAAATTATGGATTGAAGTCAATGGCGAGTAGGGATGGGTATCGTTTGAAATGTATCGATTCCGATTCCGGTTCTGCTTATCGATTCCGGTTCTTATCGATTCCGGTTCTTATCGATTCCGGTTCTTATCGATTCCCCGTTTCGATTCCAAAATTGTAAAAGAAAGAGGTCAAACGTTTAGATAACAAAAATATCTTTATTCTTTTAAGCTTTAACTGACATTTTTACAAATAAAAAATATACATGCAATACAAATGTATTGCACAATAGCTGTGCCTTATTTTAACTGAGCTATGCCTGTGGCAAGCTATTAACAGGCATTACACTGTGCCTTGTCTTTTTCTTTTTTAGTGTAGTGGAGCCTCACTTTAGAGCGTTTACCACGATCCATCTTTGGTGTTATGAAGTGACTGAGCTCGTGAACTGTCTACGGGAGGGTGGGGAGAGCCTCGCTGCGGGGCAACTGTGGACCTCTGTTGCCTGTCAGCGCAACTTACATGATGCCGTTTACAAAAATTAAGGGCGGTGCCGGCCGTCAGCGTACCGAGCCGGCCGTCAACGGCCCGCTGACGACCGGCCGTTCTGTGATTCTCCAGAACACACAGTCCACCCCTGTATTCCACCGGGTCACCACGGCGCAGACGGACCCGGTGGAATACAGGGTCTACCGCGTTTAGGAACCGTTAAGCAGAACCGTTAAGCAGAACCGAAATTGTGTATTTTGTATGGGTACCCGGTACCCGCATTTTCTTATCGGTTCTCATCTGGAACAGAGTTTCGGTTCCCAACCCTAATGGCGAGAGAAAGATTATCTTTCGATCCCGTTTGAATTGTGCCACGAATTACACATACGATGTTTGTCAATTTAAAAGATAATTTTGCAAGTCAAAAAAAAAAAATTGTCGTAGAACTGTGAAGTAACACTTTTTTTTGTGTGAAACCGCTCAATGAACTACATCTCTGGTCTCGCACAACACACGTCACCAACACCAAGCTGGCCGTCACGTTGGCACATTTCACCTCTTTCTTTCAAAATGAGGCGAAAAGTATTAAACGAGGAGAAAATCACTATAAGTCTGGGCATGTTGAGAGCTGTACATACACACAAGGGGAGTTAGTCGGTTCCGTAAGAGCCGAGGTGAGTTTCAAACAAGGGTAATGTGTAACGTTCATGTCAGCTAGCTAACATTAGCTAACAAGGTACACTCCTGTGTTTTGTTTGATCAACTAGTTTTCTCGTTAAGAACTACGTGATCGCTGTGTATGCTGTGGACAGACCCGGCGCCAGAACAAATCTACAGAGAGGGCATATGATTTTCATGGGAGGGCACACAAAACTGTCATGTGCCGCGGCCAGTGTCAACGCCAGATATTTTCTTTTGGGGGTGCTGTGGGGTAGCTTGACGTTTCATAGAGGGTGCTCAAACATGTAGGGTTCCCCATTAATGTACCGGGCGCTACAGTGGAATGTTCTACTGCAACACTCCCCACACGCACACACACAGTACACCCGCGACTGTTACAATGAAGGCTCGATAATCAGCTCACGGCATATAGGCAGGGGTAAAGTGATATTTGTATAAGTGGGGGGGGACCTAACCTCCTCTAGGGGGGTCCGAGGGCATGCTCCCCCGGGAAGATTGTGTTTTTTAATATTGAAGTTAAAAGCATCAATCTGGTGCACTTTGAGAGCAACATGAAGAGATCTATGGATACCTCTCTCAACACCCATTTGAAACAGAACTGTAAACAGATTTACTTTTTCTTTATGGATATTTTACAAATCACTCCCCTTTTAAACTGTATTCTTGTTTTACTGTCATATAGTATTTCATACCTGTTTTTCATTTATTACTCTTATATTACTATCTGACATCACATACATCAAGTTCACAGTTTATTTATAATAAAACAATTTGTAATATATATTTTTAAATGTTTTATAAATAATAAAAAACGTGTTTATTGGGGGAGGGCAGAAATGTCAAATGGGAGGGTCTGGCTGTGGATAACATTAGTGTTGGCAAGGACAAGGTACACAGAAAACTAGTGACACAGGAGTGTACAGTAGCTTGTTAGCTAATGTTAGCTAGCTGACATTAACGTTACACTCGTTTTAAACACTCACCGAAACCTTGTACAGCCGGTCCCGCATGCTGGCTCTTACGGAACCGACTAACTCCCCTTTTGTGTAATAGCAGCTCTCAACATGCCCAGACGTGTAATGATTTCCACCTCCATTTAATACTGTTCACCTCATTCTGGTGTTGGTGACGTGTATTGTGCGAGACCAGAGATGTAGTTCATTGAGCGGTTTCACACACAAATAAGTGTTACTTCACAGTTTTACAGTTTTTTTTAAGATTGACAAACATCATGTGTAATTCGTGGCACAATTCAAACGGGATCGAAAGATAACCTTTCTCTCGCCATTGACTTCAATACATAATTTTTCCGAAATAAGGTCCCATGGAGTTCCACCGGAAAGGGAGGGACTTCGCCTCTCTATATTATTTTTTTATTATTTTTAGCCTAACTTTTTTATGATTATTTAATTCCTGCTTACTCATTACTTATTTCTGTTTTAAGCATTTCTTATTGTGGCGTTGTTTTAATTACGAATACTCAATGTCTGTAGATCCAATATAATATCTGAAAATGTGTGATTTTTGTATTGTACTGTTGTATTTTTGCTAAATAAAAGATACAAATATTCTCATGATGTTGGCTTCTTTAGCCTTATGTGAGAACCAGTGAATTAAGAGCAGCTCATGGAGACATTGTTCACGTTTTCTCCATTTGCCTGTTGCTGCTGCTGACTCAGCATCTGATCTCAGCATCTGCTCTCAGCATCTGATCTCAGCATCTGATCTCTGCAGTCATGTGAGCCCGGCTCCTGACACAAACTGTCTGTCATTCAAATTATAGGCCGGTGAAAACAGAGAAGACGGGAGGCAGGCAGGGAGGGAGAGTTTAGCCCCAGGGATGATTAAAGGGGGAGCTGTGCTCAGGGTGACTCACCCACCAACAGACAGATTTACTGGAAGTGTAAGGAGGGAGGAGCTTCACTGAAGTCACATGGCACTTTTGGACCAATCACTGCACAGTGGCTCCATGGTCAGTTGTGCATTATAAAGATGAGGACCAGAACTGATCATTGGGTGGGTTAATCCAGTTTAAATACTGGAGAGGGATTCATAATTAAACATTACATTTAGCTATTGTAAGTTATTTATTGAAAGAGAGGAGTTCAGGCTACTTTTTCACTTAATCTGAGAATTTAGGGGGGGTAAAGAGAATTCAATCTATAGTCCTGTGTTTTTGTGTTAGTTTCAAATTCTTAAACATGTATGAAAGGAAAACCATACATTGAGGTAACTTTAGCCCCTTCAAGTTTAATGAAGAGCTCGTCTGAGGTGGGTAATGCGTCTTTCATTTTTGTATATGTTTGTTTATATTTGTGGCTGTGAGGCTTAGTGGTCGTCGTCTACCAATCTGAAAGTTGCTGGTTTGATTCGCAGGCCCTGCAGACAACAGTTCCCTCTAGTGTGTGTTATAGGTTTTTACTGCATGTAAATGGTCTGCAAATGCTAAAATCCCTGTGTTCCCTCCAGAGGGAGTTTCTCTCCCCCCTGCCTGAAACACCTCCATTGTACTCCTTTATTTACTTATTAGTGACATCACTATGGAACACTTGCGCTTCTATTGGCTAACGCCCCAACACTTTGTACGTGATAGGCTAATGCTGCGTTCACACCGGACGCGATGTGAATATTCGCATCGCTCTAAACGCTCGAGTTTCACCGCGGCAGTCAGCTGTGTTTACTCGCATCATTCAAACAAGACGTGCTGGCTCGGGGGCTACAACTACAACAAAATGAACATATTTTACCGTGATTTAATTGTAATACACGTTTCAAAATGATGCCGAAGTAACAACATACTGACACCGGTTAGTAAAAACCATGAGTTAATGCTTTGACAAGTCTGCAGACAAGACGGCAGGCATTTAAAATGCGTGTTTTCTGAATGGAGATCGGATCGATCAGGCTAAGCTAACGTTGTATATGCTCCGTCCACACTCACAACGGCCTACAGACATAAATAAACCAGCGACTGTATTCGCCATGACACAGACAGTCTGTGGTTTGTACTTGTTTAACTTCTGTATAGTTTCTGAACAGATATGAGGAGCTGTGAGCTCTGTGTGCTAACTGCTAACGGCTGATGTTTTCACTTTTTTAACATTAAAGCATGAAACACGTCACAGTAGAGACACAGAATACTAATATGAACCTGAAAATGAGCATTATAGGCCACCTTTAAACTCAAATTGCTCCAGATGGCCAAAAGTGTGTGTGGGTGACTGTATGAATGTGTGTGAATGTTTAATTGTAAATGTAAAAGCAAATGGAAAACCACTCTATATAATGGAGTCAATTTAGAATCTTCTTACAAATATATAAACCTGCTTACAAAGGAGTTAATATTGTAAAAGCCGATGGCTCTCATAATGTGTGTGTGTGTGTGTGTGTGTGTGTGTGTGTGTGTGTGTGTGTGTGTGTGTGTGTGTGTGTGTGTGTGTGTGTGTGTGTGCATGTGTGTGTGTGTGCGTGTGCGTGCGTGTGTGTGTGTGTGCGTGCGTGTGTGCATAGCTCTGACCTGAGAGCCCTCGGCCTGCTCCAGCATCTCCTCAAACTCCTCGTAGTCTTCGTCCTCTGGGTCGGCTCCAGACAGCCGAGCGGCTCGGGCCATGAAGTACGGAGGCAGCTCTCCGATGGCGGTGCCTGCACCCTGAACGAGCCCCAAGAGAAACGCTCAGAGTCAGAGTTTGGACATCTTTTTACCACATTTACCCACAGGCAACTTCTAATGCAGCGTTGGAAAGTAACTTCTATTCCATTACTGTATTTGAGTAAAAAAGACGAGGTACTTGTTCTTGAGTATTTTATTTTTTATGGTGCATTTATGGTCAAAATGTTACTTTTTACTTGCAGCATTTACCTAACACAAAATATAAACCATCTAATTAATTATGATGTATTATAATGGATAAGAATACTTAAGAGTATAACAAGTTAAGTAAGCTTCTCCTGCATGCATTATAATCCAGTGATTTAATATATTATTCTGAAAATGGCCATTCTGCATAATGAGTACTTTTAGTTTTGGTACTTTAGGACGTATATTTTGCTTCATTTACCTGACCGCAAACAAAAATAAAATCAATATATATTAATTACGATATCATTAAATCAGAAAGGTTTTACTGGGCCCCAGAAGCTACACAGAATTATATAAAGTAATAAATAAAGTATACATAAATACATTTAAATGAGCTCCACCTTTTCGCACAGCTGCACATTATTGCTTCAATAATAATAATAATAATAAAAATACAATTTAAAATATATAAACAATAAGAAAAATCAAATGTATTGATTATTTCTGATACTTTAAAGTGGACCTATCATGCTATATTTAAATGATATATTGTAGGGCCATACCTATATAAGGTATATTTATACGTTTCTGTTTTCAAAATACCAAACAGATCATGCATTTTAGCCATGCCTCATTTCGCTCTATGTGCGGTTTGCTGTCTACGGGGCTGATCTCTGTGAGACCACGCCCCCCTGCAGGAGAGGGGAGCCGTGCTCTGATCAAGTCAAGAGGGGGAGAAAAAAAGATCTCCGTCCTCCATGTTTTATTATATTATTATAGGCCTATAGAGTCGTTATTCATTTGTTTTAAAGCTCAATAAATAACAAAGAAGACCTTTGACCGGCACTTTTCTAATTTTGTCCGGAAGATTTAAACTTTAACGGACATCTTGACCGGCGAAAGAAACTGAAACTGAAACTCTGCCGCACGGTCCCCTCGTTCCTTGGAAGAGGCGGAGAGGTGGGTGTTTGTCATCTGCTGGTGGACTAACCGGAGAGAATTACAGTGCTTGCCTCGACGGGGAGGGATTGCATTGAATTAAAGCAGCGGGAGCAAACGCTTGCCTCGGGGAGGGACAAAGAAAGCCACAGCGGAGAATAAACAGAAGGGTAACCATGGTAACTATGGGCGGGAAGTCTTCTTCGCTGCTTTTGTGGCAGACTACAGCGCCACTTACAGGCCTGGCATATGTACTACAGCGTCTCCAGCGCAGCAATGGCCGGCCGTGGCCCAACCCCACATTCCCCTGATAGGTGGAGAGTTGGCCCAATAGCCGTAGCGCCACTTCTGTGACGACATAGAAGTGTTCAAGTCTGTATCAGATCCGTTGCAGCCCCTTTTTTAGAGATTTGGGTAGGGAGGAAAATAGAGAGGGTTGTGTTTTCTCACACTTAGTGAGTTCCCTGGAACACCGGGGAGACATATTCATGTATAAAAGACGTACAAAAGTGCATTTTGCATGATAGGTCCCCTTTAAGTATTTCCATCCCAATACTTTTTTTACTTTTACTTAAGTCACTTTCTGAATGCAGGACTTCAGAGATCTCAGGACATCTCACACCGCGGTGTTCATGCCACTATCAACTTTTTAAGTTTGTACATGTGACAAAAGTATCTTCAGGGGTCCTATAAATATAGAAGTATGATAAACGCTTTTGTCCTGGCCCTGGGATAGGCATGTTGAAAAGAGGGTGAATTCATTAGGATGAATGATTCTCACGTGGTCAGTCATTGTTGTTGCACTGCCAAACATTCTTGGCATTGTTCCGCGTGGATCACTGCACAGGCTCTTTATTCAAAGACTCACCCACATGCAGGCCTCCAGGCGGACCTTGGACATGATGGAGAAGAGGGAGATGCTTCCCTCCAGCCCCCCGCCCTGAGGACAGACGATCTGGTCCGGGTACGGAGGCTCTGGGAAGTCTGTGGAGCTGCACTCGTACGCTGCCAGAGTCACTGATGCTATGTGAGGACCCTGAGAGAGGGGAGACACACGGACAGTCAGAATTAATAGCTCTTATTCCTCCCAGATTTACAACGTCACAGCAAAGGGACAGGGAAAAGGAAATACAGGGTATATGCAGGAATCCTGAAGTCAAATGTAATACCTTTTAAGACCTTTTTTAAGACCCTTTCCATACATTTTAAGACCTCATCGCCACTTGGAGTTTTAACCGGTTACATTGGCGACACACTTTACCTCACATTGACTATATACAGTATTGATTGTCCTTCCTCCTTATCTTCAAACCATTTGGACGCAGACTTGCATTTCCCCATAACGATGTTGTTTAACAACCGGCGTAAACGGACCTTCGCTCGCTATCAAGCAGTGAGCGTGCGATGTCCTGTTCAGATGACGTCAAATCCAACGGGATGCCATAAATAAACTACACAGAATCACACTACACACCTACGCAATGATTACATTCAGGCAGACTGTAGAATACAACCTCTTTGGACAATTTATATACTTATTGAAAACAAGCTACAAAATGTAATACCTTGGAAAATGCCGTTTAATACTTTTTAATAGCCTTAAATCTTCGCTAAATTGATTGATCAACTTTTAATACTTTTTAAGACCCCGCGGACACCCTGAAATAAACAAGATTAGTAGAGTCATGTTAAATAGAGAGGCACATACATGTAAATAAAGAAAATACAGTGTTTCTTGTAATAAAAAAAGGAGCAGACTTGATTCCTTCTTTATATGCGTTTGTTTCCGCCTCTCAAATACACACATTTCCTATTTTTCTTTGTTTAAAATCATATTTAACTAAATATCTTATTTTGGGCTGACATATAAAAGACACCACCTTGGATTATGAGGAACTGGCTTGGAATTGTTTTACTATTTTCGGACATTTTGTAAACCAAATGTTTCATTATCCGTATTTTGTAAATTGTGTAACTTGCTGTTAAATACCAACCACCTATGTGCAATATGTGCTAGATGTGCAATATATATATATAGATGCCGTTAATAACTGTAATATATACCTGGCTGCTAAATCCTAAGAACTGTTACAGGATGTGTATTTCTTTAAATTATGTAACGTTTTATTTTTTATTATATATTTTTGTATTATATCATAACTTAGTACTTTAAAAAAAATGCATGTCACATATTTAACATATGTAACATTACGCTGTCTGTGGCTCTTTTTCCTGCTGTAACTACGCACATGTCCCCTCCCCTCCGTGGGACTAATAAAGGTATTCTGATTCATTAATTGATGAAAAGACTATTCATCAGATTTATGAATAAAGAAAATGACTGTTAGAAGCAGCCCTAGTTTCATGAACAAATGCAGCTTGTGTGCTAACAGACTCATCAGCACAAACAGCAGGTGAGTCACAGAGTCTCTGACAGGCAGGTATATCATTTCTCTCAGTCAGGACGTCTGGCTGAGCCACCTGGCCTCAACACCAGCCGGCCCACCTGTAACTGTAACACAGATCCTCCTTTATGCCTCCTTCAGGTGATGCACGCAGCCCTGACAGTAGATGGACGGCACACAATTAATCTGTGTTGACTGCAACGGCTCCCCCATAGTTACGCTACACCCCCCCCCCCCCACGGAGTGTGAGCACACAGGAGGCTTCTTTAGTTTACACAACACACTCAAACCAAACTCCTTTTAACGGCATTTCTCCATGACACTGAGCTGAGTCAAAATGATGTTACTCAAGACATTTACCAAACATCTTTGTAAGTCATGAATCAGCAAGTAGATTTCAATAAGTACCCATCAAATAAAATGCATTTTTCATTTTTACAACAGGACAACTTGGCAAAAGCACTGCCAGTAGACCCCTTGAAGCAACAAAGTTCATTGAAACCCCAATGAATAAAGCGTAATGTCTCTAAATAAAACATTCCGATAGTGAGACAGCAGGGTATATGCAGGAATCCTGAAGTCAAATGTAATACCCTTTAAGACCTTTTTTAAGACCCTTTCCATACATTTTAAGACCTCATCGCCACTTCGAGTTTTAACCGGTTACATTGGCGACACACTTTACCTCACATTTACTATACACAGTATTGATTGTCCTTCCTCCTTATCTTCCAACCATTTGGACGCAAACTTGCATTTCCCCATAACGATGTTGTTTAACAACCGGCGTAAACGGAGCTTCGCGCGCTATCAAGCAGTGAGCGTGCGGTGTCCTGTTTAGATGACGTCAAATCCAACGGGATGCCATAAATAAACTACACAGAATCACACTACACACCTACGCAATGATTACATTCAGGCAGACTGTAGAATACAACCTCTTTGGACAATTTATATACTTATTGAAAACAAGCTAGGGATGTCCAAACATAAAACTATTCAAAAAGAGGTATAAAGACACAATTCTCACAAGGTACAGGGATGAAACTGCTAAATCATAACGGTTTATATTCTTGTTTTGTATTCTATTTATGAATTTGTGTTTGTATGAATTTGTGTATGTACATATGTATATATATAAATATATAGAGACCATTGTCCTAACTTGCCTGTATATATTATATGAATGATTATATAAATTATTCAAGATTATAAGTATACGTTTATATTGTATGTTAACATATATTAAGTGGTAAAAAAAGAAATAAAAAAAAAAAAGGGAGAAGGGGTCTGATTAAATAAGTGTAAACTTCTTCCGACCCCTTTTCGGATGTGTAATGAGCTAAAGCTTTGTTGTTTATTGATATCAGACAATGATACTACAGATTATTCAATTATTAATTAAATGTTTCGTTTTGTTATTGCATTCATTTGTATAGTACTGTCTGCATCACCTTTTGTTTCATTTGTATTTTCTTTGGTTTTACACGCTCGAAAAAAAACTTAACTAAAATAAACTAAGCTACAAAATGTAATACCTTGGAAAATGCCATTTAATACTTTTTAATAGCCTTCATTTTCGCTACACACCCCGCGGACACCCTGGACAGTGATACTTCTGTTCACCAAGGTCAGCAAAGCACATTTACATACAAGGACATTTATGTTCACTTACTTTATAATGCTGGCATCTCATTTTTTACCACAAATGTGTACTCAATCTGCCTTCTATCTACACTGTCATGTTGCTGTAACAAAGTACATTTTCATGTGCGGGACGAAGAAAACATTTCTGATTCTTTTTAAACCACTTGTTTACCCAACAACGATTATTCAAGTGGATATAAACCCAGGCATAATAGAACTGGTTTAAAACCCAAAATACTGAAGTGTTGGGTCTAAACATGTACATGTTATTGGGAAGGTGACTCAACAGGAGGGGTCATTAAAACGCATTATAGTCTTAGCTGCATGAATTAGATCAGGAAATTCCACGGCACTCTGCTTTGGCATTTTCACCCAGGAAGGAAATTATTGGGTGTGGTTCCTGTGTGTCACCAAACATTGTACAATACAATCCTCGAGGCATGTTGAAAAACAGCAGCATATTTAGTTTTGACATGCAGTTACCAAAAGTAGTATCCATTATCTTGGCATCATACACACTGGATATTTAATGCAGATAATTGGATTTAAACCAAACAGATGAATAAGCGAAAGGGTTGGATTTACATTATAATCCTTATCTTCAAACATTTAAAAAAGGTAAATATCTAAAAGAAGCTTTCTTAAAACAATGATCCAGAGTCGAAGCAACTGTGTGTTTTTCCTATTTCAACCACACAATTGTGACTGAATCCATCACTAAGATGCAATGACCTCCAAAACATCATGATGAATCATCAGATAATGCTGATATGTGAACCCCCTTTTCCAGGAGCATTATGATATCATCCTCTCTGTGAGGCGATGTATGAATGCTTAAGGATTGAGGTAAATTCAGTTGAACTGTGCAGGTGGGAACTGTGGTTTTTCCTTCAGCATTAACACTGGGGAGTTTCCTGACATTGGCAGCTTCACAGATTCATGCATCAGCTTTGGCATGGACAGCACCGTCCTCATCAGAGAGGAATGCAGTTTCTCCATCACCCTGGAAGAAGGCTGGCTCAGTCATCTGCTGAAAACCAGCCACGTTGGGAGATGTGTTGGAGAGGAAGACTCTGAATAAACTGTTCTTTATTATGGATAATCTGGCCCACTCTCTCCACCAGCTACTGCATAGACAGTGCCTTCGTTGGATTCCTTTTTTTTTTTTTACATCCGAAATAACTATAACTATGGAACACTCACGCTTCTATTGGTTAGCGCCAGAGGTGGGAGTAAGTCATACATGTGCAAGTCATGAGCAAGTCTTAACCTACAAGTCTCAAGCAAGTCCCAAGTCACTGTAGTGAGAGTCAAGCAAGTCAAGTCATTGCTCAGGTCAAGCAAGTCACAAGTCAAGTCATATGAAATTCTGATGAATAACCCCAGTTTCCGCATTTAAATCAGTTAAAATATTGTGGTTATGAAAAGTTTAGTTTTATTTTCAACATAAATAGCAATGGAGAGTGGGGCGCTGAAATTATAACCCTATAAGTTCTAAAAGGGCTCTAAAGTGAAAACAGGAGTAGAGTACAACACAAATATTTGACAACATGTTAAGCCTCCTGCCCTGGCTCCCCTTCAGCAGGGTCACAGCATTTCTCCTGTCTAAGGAGCTCCCATATGACACCGTCTCATTGTTTTCTTAACTGTGTCTGTGCACAAAGAAATATTGCATCAAAGCCAATACAACGGACTAGTGTATGTACCAGGGCGCATGATATATGTGTGTGTGTGTGTGTAGACAGTGCAACATTAAGATTAAACACATTTCTTTCATGGAGTTGGCCAGATGTGTGTAAATTACTGTTCATGGTAATTTGAAAACAAATGCCGTTGTCGGACACACACAAACACACACACACAGAGCAGAGCTGAGCAGAGTACAAACACACACACATCATGCGCCTTAGTGACCGGACATCTCCTTCATAAAACGAGTAATAGGGGGATTAATCGGACAGTTCGATGTGTGTAGAGGTGTGTGTATGTGTAGAGGTGTGTGTATGTGTAGAGGTGTGTCTGGTTAAAACGTAGCAGCCTGCCCTTTAGGGCCACCGTACAATACAAAAACAAATGCAAATATTCTGAGTCCTTTCGAGTCATCTGTCTCAAGTCCAGTCAAATCTCAAGTCATGAATACCAAGTCAAGTCTTTTATCAATGTTAGTCAAGCAAGTCTCAAGTCCAAAAATATGCGACTCGAGTCTGACTCGAGTCAAGTCATGTCACTCGAGTCCCCCACCTCTGGTTAGCGCACCAACATATTCTACATGATAGGCTAAGGGGCGGGACATCTCTAAGCAGTTGACGATTCACAACAGAGACGGCCAGCTAACCAATCAGAGCAGACTGGGCTCTGGTTTCAGACAGAGGGTGAAAAGAGGTGCTGCAGCACAGGCAGTATGAGAACATGTCACAGTAGAGACACTTAATACTAGTATGAACTTGAAAATGAGCTTAAAAAGGGCCATTAATGAAATGGAAAGGGGATGATTTTAGAAGTGTATTTAAAATGAATGCTGGAGGAAATGCTATATATTCTTAAGGGGAAAAAGACAAAAGATTCCTAGACTGTTGGGGAAGAGAAGTAAAGCCCCCACTACTAATGCACGGGAACAAATAAACAACCTGAACCTGCTTTTCTTATTGGTGATCAAAACAAAGCTCCACAAAAACAAATAAGACAAAAGGTAGGTCACAAGGAAGCACAAACATCCTGAAAAATGTAGCACGACAACAAAGAGAGATTAGAGAAACCAGTTTGACTCCTAATGCATTATAATGGGGAAAAGGATATAAGGTAATACACGAAGACAATCGAAGACTTATGCAAACACATGGTGAGCTTCACAGCAATAATGGAAATAGTGCAAATACTCTCGGAGGTAGGTCACAGTTACATCTTTTCCCATGATTTCATTGTGGTGGAAACGGCTGACTCAGCACACCCACATCTGTATATGCTGTAAAGAAGAAAAGCCACATCATCCCCACCCTAAAGTGGACTAGGCTCAACGATGGTTTTATTTTGCCAAATTCTCCTTTTTACCAAGACAAATGACACACAGTTAGGTGACTCAGTCATTCTGAGACTGTCGGGGAAATAATTAACGTTTGGTTTAGCACTGACGGGTCACACTTTAAAGAAGACGAAGAATATGGAGTGTGACGCCACCCTCTGGCAACTACAGTTATACACACACAGTGGCTTTAATACATTCACTGTGGACCACACAGACTACATCACAAGTGCCACCTCTCAGGAAGATTGTTTTACACAGCAAGATTTGATACCCGTCAGTATAATAATAATAATAATACATTATATTTTTATAGGGCTTTTCAAGGACTCAAAACCGCTTTACAATATAAGGGAAGGTTAGGGTGGGGGGTATAGGACTATCAAACTTGATCAACCGGCAAGGATTGATGTGGGGTGGGCTATGAGTAGACAAGAGGAGAAGAGTTTTGAAAAGGGACTGGAATACTGTGAGGGTCTCAGAATAGCGGAGATCTTTGCATCAATATGTTCAAAACGTTTTTTTTTCAAAATGTAAAAGAAATGTCTAAAATTATAAAGAGTGAAAAATTAAATATAAAATATTTCTAGTGTGAACCAAAATATAATACTAAATATTATACAAGTGATTTTACTTAACCAAAATGACAAAAACGGCATAAAAATACATATTATTCTAATAAGGGTCCAGTGCATCTAAGGGTTAATGCAGAGGAGCCTGGTGCTGTAGTGTTTCTGTGTGTCTCTTTGTTCTGTTCTAACCCCAGCTCACTGGTGTGTGCACTTTTCACAAACCATAAACAAGTGTTGTCTTACCAGATAGAGCAGAAACGTGTGCAGGCCGGTCCCGAGGCCCACTGAGGACAGGATCCCGAGGCCCACCCAGTACGCACACCATAGAAACCTCTTCTCCAGGTAGTTGACCCACTGCAGGGGAAGACAGTAAAATAAAACTGATTAGAAAAGACAGAAAAAACATAATGCCTTATTTGAGTTTTTACAGTTAATTACTGTTTGTGTCTTTCATTAACTGTTGGATGCTACCATGTACTGATATTTAATATTTAACATGACTCTCTCTCTGTTGTTGTCAAGGTTTGATTATAGCCAAAAGCAATACATATGAATAAGCAAAGAATATATTTTTTCGTTTTAAGTTATTGTTGCATTAGATTATTATAATATTTAAAAGGAAATGGGTTTATTTTGATATAATACACAAATATAAAGTATAACTAGAAAATGCATTTCCTGCAGAAAATGCGTGCGAATGCTGTAAACTGTGAACATTTGTGGCTGAATTTAGCTGAAAATGCAGAAAAAGCTGAATATGTTATTAGCTGAATGGTAGCTGCTTTTAGCTACAAAAATGCAGAAAAAGCTTAATATTTAAAAGAAAAGGTTTAAAAAAAAGGTATAAACAACAACATGTCCTTGATGTCCTGAAATAGCTGAATAATGTAATAGTTGAATGGTTTCTGCAGCTGAAAGTAGGCTGAAGGAGTTAAATATCAGATGTAAGTAGTAGTGAATGAACTTGTATTAAGAAGAGAAAAGAAAGTAAAAAGGCTTGGGAAAGCAGCAGAATATTTTGACTGCAAACTTTTTGACTAAAACCATACGTCACCAATAATGTATAAAATATTTGGAACATGTTGAAGTCAGTATGTAGTCTCCATCAGACAGAAAAGAATAGGCTGAGACAGTCTGAAGTCCAGTGTGTTTGTCAGTGTTTGTTTCTGTGCTGAGCACCTAATCATAACAAATAATCATAACACCTGTGTGAGCCCAGAGATCAAAGCTTTCAATCTGCCCAGCAACACCATGGTTACCAGCTGCAGCACTGAGTGTCATTAAGAATGCATTGAGGATCAGGGAACCCCAATGAACTGATATATGTTTTTTTTGGGGGTTTTGTGTGGTAAATGTGGAGATGAGAGCAGTTTGTCTAAAGTGTACTTCTCTCTGTTCTGAAGAAAGATCCGGATTTTTTTTAACATGGGAATTAATTGGGAGCTAGGTGGACTTTTTGTCTCTTCATGCCCTCAAGAGGCATTTTGTTTAATATTTTTTCTTAATTTTTTTTAATTTTCCAACCTAGGAGAGGTTTTCCTACGTTTTTCATGAAAAATGATGTCTGAGGAGTGTAGGGTTTGGGAATTATGGCAGGTTTAAAACATTTTTTGGGGAGAATTTCAAGCTGTCCACTCTGTTTTGAGATCAAAGCACTCTAGACTGAACGAGCTGCGCAATACACACTAATGTTAAAATCTGAAGAAAGCCCCTCTACCAAGCTCCAAACTAAGTTAAATATCTCAAAAAGTGTAAAAGATATCAAAAATCTGAATCATTTTTGAATAGCTGAAGGTCTTGTGATCATTTTAAAGTTGGAATGAAGTTTCTAGCTGAAAGTATGTGGAAGGAGAAGCATTTGGCGTAAGGTGTAGTTAAAGAGGATTTGAAGGCTCCTCCCATTGACTTCCATGTTAAAAAAAGAGTTTAAAAAGCTGAATATTTTTAAAAAGTTGAAGGTTTCCCATTGATTCCTGAAAAGGCTGACTAGTTTAATATTTGAATGGTTTCTGTAGCTGAAAGTAAGCTGAAGTTATGGAGAGCCAAAGTATTGGCTGAAATAAGGGGAAGAATAAAGATTTGAAAAACTATAGTGGAATGTAAATAGCATTCGCACTAAATATTATACTTATTTGAGGAAACTTAAAAAAATGTTTTGTAAGAAATGCACTTTATAATTATATTAATATAATCTCATTGTTTATTTTAATATATTTCTACCTGTAGAGCATTACTTTGATGCATTGTCAGGTGTCCTTGGATGCCTCCAAATTAAATGTATTATTATGATTAAATGATCTGTAGTGGATTACATATGACTTCATTATTATAAATGTGAACAATCTAGAAAGATATACAAATCTATATTGAAGCTTGTAACAAATTGTAGCGGACCTTGAAGCCGACTGATTGTATGTCCAAGGGTTACTTGACAACAGTGCGTACTTCATTATCTCCCAACACAAGCTTCCCTTGAGGAATGTTTTAGATGGATAAAGAGTGAGTTATCATTAACCTTTAAACAGGCTGTTGGTGGAGCAATGGTGTTGATCATTAACATCACTGAAGTCAGTAGAGCCTTACTTGTTGGTGTGAGCCTTCCGTGGAGTAGGCGAAGGAGAACAGAGAACATAACACCAGAACTAAGAACACCAGGCCTCGTCGCTGCCAAAGCCTGAAACAAAGAAATCAAACAAAAAGTTGTTAAAGACACAAGTTCCAACATAAAAAATTGAACAATTGTGTCTCATCTCTTATATTTTCTTGTAGAAATGACTTTTTAATCATAGTTATTTGTGTGCTTGCGCAATCTTAACCTTAGACTGGAGCCACACGAGAACGGTAACGCAAACGAACCGAATTCGATATCAAAAAAGTCTTCCGTCCACACGCAATAGGCACCAGAAACGTGTCCATTCACACGAGACCGCTCGAAAGCGCTGTAGTACATATGCCGGGCCTGTAAGTGGCGCTGTACTCCTGCCACAAAACCAACGAAGAAGACTTCCCGCGCATGGTTGCCATGGTTGCCCTTCTGTTTATTCTCCGCGGTGGACGCTATGGCTCTTTTTCTCCCTCCCCGAGGCAAGCGTTTGCTCCTGCTGTAATTCTCTCCGGTTAGTCCACCAGCAGATGAAAAACACCCACCTCTCCGCCTCTTCCAAGGGACGAGGGGACCGTGCGGCAGAGTTTCCGTTAGATTTTTTTTTGCCGGTCAACATGTCCGTTAAAGTTGAAATCTTCCGGACAAAATTAGAAAAGTGCCGGTCAGAGGTCTTTGTTATTTATTGAGCTTTAAAACAAATTGATAACGACTCTATATAATAATATAATAATAATACACGGAGGCCATATCTCAATGTCGAGTAAACCTGCTGCAGAGCCACTATTTCAAGTATACTACGTCATCGAGTGGCGCCGAAGGACTGTTTAAATGCATGTTAAATGCCCAGCATTCGGCGCCACTCGATGACATAGTATACTTGAAATAGTGGCTCTGCAGCAGCTCTACTTGACATTGAGAAACGGCCGGAGTCTCTCTTTTCCTCCCCCTCTCCTGACAGCCCAGCAGCTGATCTCTGAGCAGGAGAGGTGGGAGAGGCGGGGCTATTGCTTCATTGTTATCAGGAAATTATCGTATAGGGTGTAATCACGGAGCCGTTTGGCCCCCCAGAGCGTTTCGTCCCCAGATCTACCCACCTTGGGACCCGTTATCGTTATCGCCTTGTGTGGCCGAACCGTCTATATGATAGAGAACTGTAGGGGATACGACCGTTACCGTTCTCGTGTGGCTGCATCCTCAGACAGTTACAGCGGTAACTAGTTCTGTGTGAAATGCTGACTTTGCACACAGTTAGCTTGTTCTTTTGGGCCTGAGGTTAGTTTGACCAAAGTGTAGAACAAAGCGTTTTAAGAACAGCTTTAACCCAGCTGGCATCGCACAAGTAACAAGTTGTAGCAGCATCAAAGAGAGGCTTTGGAAGCAATGCCTATTTATTTATTAACTTGCTGGATACTTTTTTTTTTTAAAGATTTCCCTGTTGCCTGTTGTCTGTGTTGTTTTAAAACGTGTCACAATGGATCCCATGTCTTTTATCTGCAAACCAAAACCTACCTACGGGTACAGATAAACAACCTGAACCTGCTTTTCTTATTGGTGATCAAAACAAAGCCCCACAAAAACAAATAAGGCAAAAGGTAGGTCACAAGGAAGCACAAACATTCTGAAAAATGTAGCACGACAACAAAGAGAGAGTAGAGAAACCGGTTTGACTTCTTACTGAAACGTCCACTCCTTTAGCTTGATGAGGGTCTCCAGAAGGAAGTAATGTATTGTGGTGACGGGCCTCCTCCAAACCACCAGAGACAGGCGCTCCTCCTTATCTCTCTGTCGCCTCTCTCTAACTGAAGAGTCTGGAGAACAAACAGAGTTGCAATCACCCTCACATACTACGATATCTGTTTCTACGTCAATTATATAATCTTGTTGAAATGGTAATGCTAAATACATGATACTATGACATGTCGGTCGCTGTCGCTGCTTTGAAAACTGAAAGTAACAAAGTGTATCACGCTTTTTATGACTTTTTCAAACCATGTAGCGCTTATCGTTCTGTGTCATCAGAGATAACAAGGGGTAAACTCTACTCTACAGGGTCACTTCAGATGAGGGGTAACTTCTCGAACTTCATGAAAAGTTTAAAAAGAAAGTATTGCAAAATAAAAGTAGTTTTTTTATTCAAACAAACTAATATTTTACATTTACAGATTTCATTATATATTTAACCTGTGTATTTGTTTGTTGTACGTTACATCTATGTTTCTTGAAATGTTTTAAAATTAAAGTATTAGTATATATATATACAAGTAAATATATATAGTTTTCGAAGGTTTATTTGAATTCCTGCTTCTCTATATCTAATGAATTCCTTTTGTACTTAACAAAAACAGCATTTCCCATTTCTTAATGTGTTTATCATTCAAAGCTTTAAGGTTTTGTGTCTTAATGAGTACCATGTAAGATGCTAAGCCTATGTTTTGTGTGTTCCAGGACCTGCAAACTGCTTCAAAAAAATAAAAGAAACCTACCTATTGCTTTGCCATTCTGTTTGCCTTTGGCTCCGGCCCGTTTCTGTGGCTGCTCACACTTTGCTCCATTGGCTGCCATGGCAATCGAGGTTTCAGCCGGTCAGGCAGTTCAGGAGGAAGGGAAGTGTCTCTGGTTCAACAACGTCCTCCCCGCTGTAGTTTCACTTCCTACTGAGCAAGAGAACACGAGACGCTGTGTGACTGTCACAGCTTCTTATCAATGACTCTTAAGCAATACTACATTCAAGAAGTAAGGAGTACTCAGATATTTTACTTAGGTACAAGTAGCAATACTAAACTGTTAACATTTCTGTTACAAGTAAACGTCTGAAGTAAAAGTGTAATTTGCCATTAAGTTATACTTTGAGTACAAAAAGTTCTCATTTCACTGTATATCAGATAAAAAAAAACATACATTTTTTGTATTATGTTTTTTAATACATTAATGTCAATGTTGCACAAGGTGGGGATTCTTTAAATTACTTTATATACTGCTGGTTAGCTGAACCTTTACATTAATACATAATGATTTATTGCTCGATTTATATTATGTGTATTATAATCCATATATATAGCTAGTAACAAGTCTTTTTGAGTAAAAAGTCAAAACAATGCCTCCAAAATGTAGTAAAGTAAAAGTATAACATAAAAAACACTCAAGTGAAATACAAGTGCCTCAAAAGTGTACTTGAGTAAATGTACTTAGTTACATTCCAGTGACTACATCAAACTGTCAGTGTGAAAATATCATCAACACGCAAACTGGCATTGAAAATATATGGTAATAACTAAGAGAAAACATCAAACGAAAAGATAAAAAGAAGGCACATATTTTACTGACTGCCTCACGGCAATAACACATGTGGTAAACTGAAATAACCTCAGTTCTGTGGGTCAGTCTGAAACAAGATATGATGACAAATGCGTGCACATCATCCTCCACATGCTAACCGGTTAGCCGTGCTAACGGCTAAGCTAGGGAGCTAGGCAGCTTCTACACTAAAACAAGGGGTTTATAACCAACAACGAGTCGCCTTACTTGTGGTGAGGTATCACAAATAAATCCTTATCGCTGTGGTGTTGTAGTTATGACAAAATATACGCCAAATAAAAGGGAAACAGATTGCTGTTTGTTAAAAACCAACTGACAAGTCGTACCTCTTTCCTGTCCTCTTCACCCGGTAACAAACGTTGGACTTGTCAAAGTAAAATCGGTGTTGCGGTTTGGTGGTGAATAATTGTCTTTAAACACGTTTTTATCAACTATATATAGTAAAATGAGACATTTTAAATACACGGAAGACAGATGAAGTACTACTATGGCAATTTCTTACCTTCAAATTAAAATAAGATTACATTTCTAAAGTAGATACTTTTATTGTGAAAGTCAATTGAAGACGTATTTCCGCCAGTTTAGTTTTACTGTCCAATCAGTGGTTGCCAGATTTGCCAACAAAGTGAGAGGATTGCAACACTCGCAATGTGTGTTAATATCACCTTGAGACATGAAGCAATATCTCAAAACGGATGATGGCACTAGCCATAAATCAATTCCTTATAACTTAAGAGAAAAAGTATTAGAAAGAAAGTAAATATTTATTTAAATTAAACAAATTACATTTTTTCAGAAGGTTTATTTCAAATGTGAATCATTTCAATGTATTTGATGTATTATTTTATTTCTCGTTTATTTTTATATTGCCTCCTTTTTAAAATATTTTTCTTTAAAAAAATCCTACAAAGAAAGTATTAGAAGGAAGGAACAAAACATTCTATTTAAACAAGTTTCATCTTTAGAAAGTTTATATAATATTGAATGCATTATTTTATTCGTAGAGTCGGTGTGGCTGTTTTATCAGTTAATGGTTTTCTCTAAGCAAGGTTTTTTAACTTCATATATAATGAAACAACAAATGTTAAATATATGGAATATAGAAACAATTAAATTGATAGGATTACATTTCTAAAGGATGTATGTAGGTCATTCTCATTCACAATGAGCAACACACATTCAATTTATCGAGTCACACACACAACATATAAGCCGTGCACTTTCCTGGATGAAAGAAAATCCGTGTAAGCTGAAGAAAAACCCACAGGACTGTTTCTTTGTTTTATTACGACATTGAATGAAGGCCGAGTATGCATTTTGGCTGTCAGACTCTACCAACAATAAAGACCAACATATATATAATGTATTTACACACATGTATGCCATATACCTAATCTTCACATTGGTTTTTGTTAAGTTAAATGGACTTTTCTGAACATAAAAAAAATTAAAGCTCTTAATTCTGTGTTATTATAATAACTAGAGACATATCCAAAAATATATTTATACCAACAAATGAGTCAGTGTTAGCTGGATTTATCAAAAGAAGAGTCAAATATTGACCAACTAGATGCTTTGGTTCACCCTCATATCAACATCAACCTTTAAGTCCCAAAACAAATGTGTGTGTTAGCACAAAACAATGATAACTTAAACAGAAGTGGACGTCATGATATGAAAAACACACAGCAAAGCGACATGGTTGCACTCCTTTCCATCTAACAGGATTGAATGCAGATCATCCGCACCGGAAACTAGTAACCCAGAATCAAAGTCCCCCATTGGCTGAAGTAGACATTACAGCTTATAAGGTCACGGGTAAGGTTACTAATGAACTATAGGCACGGGTTTAGCAGATGGCTCGTCTATTCCAGGAGTAACCCAAGCAGGTCGTGATGGGGGAGTCCTCTATCATTCGTCATAGTGAAGTGAAGACAGGAACTTGTCCACATCCAGGTCAGGGGGGGAAACAATCTACAAGTTTCTTCTTTTCCTGCAGATTAAAAAACAAAGTCAGAATCACATGGAAAAAAACCTCGGGAGACATTTCAAAAATGACAGCTTTTTTAATTAGCGTCCCTCTAGGACAGGGGTGTCAAACTCAAGGCCCGGGGGCCAAATCCGGACCGCGGCTTCATTTTATGTGGCCCGCAAGAGCTTGCAAAGAATATAATAAGTTTATTATACGGTTACATGCCGCTTTACAGAAGCACGTTGCCAATAAACTACATGTCCCACAATGCATCTCGTTTTGGGACATGAGCACTGAAGAGACTTGCTATTATTTGCCCCAGACTTCTGCTTTCAGACGTAGTTAATTATGAAGTTATTACCCTATCCGATAATAATCCAATGCAGAGGCAATATTGTAATATAATACATTATTTTATATATATTATATATTTATATAGTCTTAAAGTTACAACCGACCCTTTGAGTGCAACCATAATGCTAATGTGGCCCGCGATGAAATTGAGTTTCACACCCCTGCTCTAGGATGTCTCCTGAGGATATATTTCCTATTTTCCTCTTTATGAAAAGTGCCATACAAATAAAGCTTTATTATTATTAAAGTTCCCATTCTTGCATCAATGAGGTATGCAATCATCAAAAGTACCAAAACCAAATGGTTCGGGTGAAGTTGTGGAGGAATGAAATTAGACAGACAACTGGGATATTCTTAGTTTGTCTTGAATGGCAGACATTGTTACACTGCCTAAGTCCATCCACCACTCTGTGAACTTGGTATCCTGTTCAGGGTCACCCCGGGCAGACTGCCAGTCTATAACAGGACCAACACATGTAGACACACACTCACACCTACAGAGCTTCCAGTGCACTGTATCCTATGTCATTTGAGGACACTCAGACTGGTTCAGGTTTAAGTTTAAAGACTAGGGATGCTACGATCGCCAATTCTGGGGCCGATCGCCGGAATCAGTATCGGCCAATACCGATCGCCGATCCGATCGAGTGGGTGGGGGCTATGGGGATCTTCCATTTAAAGTGATGTTTACAACTCAGTTAATGGGGCTCATTCACTGGCGCTTCCACAAACAACAAGTTCAAGTTTACATTCACTTTGGATAATAACACGGGAGAAATGAGCGGAAGCCTCTCTCTCTCCCTCTCCTGACAGCCTGTCAGTATCTCCTGCAGCTCACTGATCCAGTAATGAGTGACCCGACAGTGAAGAATAAATATATGTATAACTAGTTTAGCTTGTTCCAGAGGTAGATAAAATAGCTAAGTGTGTTAGGTCTAACTCTTAGTGTGTTTTGCTCCGCTCACCGGTCCGTCACAGCGGGTGGAGCTGCAGGATTTCTGCTTCACACACACGTTGCATACCGCTATTTTATTGTCATATTCGGACACTTTAAAATACTGCCAGACTGGTGAAGCCATTTTGGCGAGCTTGTTTTGCCGCGCACAGAGAAAAGTGTCATGTATTTTACGTCATGTGATCGGCTCTCACGATCGGCTCTCACGATCGGCTCTCACGATCGGCTCTCAAGATCGGCCTTTATAGAGAGCACCGATCGATCGGCAGAGAGTGAATATCGGCCGATATCGATCAATCGGAGCATCCATAATAAAGACCAAGCTCAACTTTCAGAAATGACCTCTGGAGGGATCACTACAGGAAAAGGGAAAACCCCAAAAAGTATAACAGGGCCCTTTTAAGAGATAGATTGAAGTGGGGTTGCATGAGGTGCTTATCCAACATGAGTAGTTGGAAGAAACAGTGGATTGGTGGATTGATAGAAAGGGAAGTGCGTGAAAAATTAGTCGATTTTGATGAATGATTTCTTGTTTGCAAAGATTGAATTGTTATTTTCGATCCAAAATATTAAAAAAATCCTTTATTGCAGCTGTTTAAATGACAGGACATGCATCTTGCCTTTGTCTCATTTCAGGGAATACCTTTAAAGTTAAGAGTAAATAGGCAACATCCCCTTTGAGCTTTACAAAGTAAAAAACGTTCCACTGTTTCCTGACAATTATAAGACCAACCCATTCATCGAAAAATAATGAAAATGTTTGTGATTTACAGTTCTATATCTAACTATATCGGAGAACAGAACACTGATGAAGCAGAACGTGTCTAGAACAGACAACAGGGAACGTTTAAAACACCATAAAACATTTTAAATCCGATCCTGGTGTTGTACTCACTCGCTCAGTCGTTTTGCTTGGAGACTGTTTCGTCTCTTTCTTCGCCTGCGGGCTGGATGTGGGAGAAGACAGTTTTCGTTTTTTAGAGATCTTTGAGCTGGTGGGTGAATGTTCTCCCACTTCCTCCTGACGCAGACTGTCCTTCAGTGGAGTGCCGGTCCTGGCGATGGCGGCACGCGAGAGGATCATGAGTGTGTGGGCGGCCATGTTGATGCTGTTCTCGCTGCCAGCCTCACTGGCCGGGCTGCAGGTGGGGACATCGGGGGTGTTGGGAGGCAGAAGATGCTTGGGAGTGCCCTCTCCGTCTCTACCTTTCCTCAGTCGGGAGGGAGTCCAGGGACGATCAGCTGACTCCTCCTGGGTATGGCCTGGGGTCCGGGGGAGTTCTGTACTAACTGCTCCAGGCCTTTTACCAGGGGTGGAGGGAGAGTTGAGCCCCTGGATGTCCTGCAGCATCTCAGCCGCCTGTTTGGCCAGAGAGCTGGTCTTTGAGGGGGCCTTCGAAGCCTTGGATTGAGGTTGAGATGCCTGCTGGGGGACAGCTGGAGGGTCCCTTAACGTCGAGGATGATGGCTGCTCTTTCACGCTTCCCTTCATTTCATTCTCTTTGTTAGCGGTGACATTTGGAATTTCCTGGGAGGGAGTCTTCTTCTCTGAACGCCCCTCCCGTGCTTTACCAGAAGCCTTTTCTGTTGGCTCTTTCCTGCTGCTGTCCTCCTTCTCTTTTCTAGTTCCTGACGATGACCTAGAAGTACGAGATTCCTTAGCTTTTGCTCCATCACCCTCCTTATCATGACTGTGCTTCCTGTTCTTTGAACTCCTTGCTGATTCGGAGCTTTTCTCAGTCTGTGAGGCCTCGACCATGCTGGTACTGGCACTCTGCGTCTCTTGGTTTTGGACGCTGTGATCTTGTTTGCGGGAGATCTTTTTGGGAGGGTCTTTCTGTTGTGGCGGTATGGGCTTCTCCGCCCCCTTCATGAAGGCCTCAGCGGTCTGGGGATCTGCTGAGCATCTGACCGTCTCTATCCTCCTCTTGGGCTTGTTCCCACTTAAGATGGAAGGTTTTGTTCGAGTCACTGACTGCGTGTTATCTTTCTCACGCTGCTTCACAGATCCTGATGGAGTTGTGTTTTTAGGTGGAAGTTTGCTGGACCTTGTTG